CACCTGGCAATGCCCGCAAAGAGAGACGACAAGGTAAATATAGTAGGGACACTGGAGAGCGGGGCTACTTTTACCTGCTTCTGCTCATCATTGTATTTGTATATATTTGCTGTCCCCTCTTGGCATGCAATGTCTCCATCTACTGGTGACTGTAAACTATCATTGTTGGTTACATTGGGAGTTTTGAGTTTGGCCCTTTGAGGTTGCTGTAGCTGGTCAGTGTTGAAGCAGCAGAGTGAGTCAGCAGCTGATGTGCTAACATTTTTAATATATCTAAAATATATCTGTAATTATGAGCACACATCCGTTTTATGTTAAGCATGTGAAATAAAATGTATATAAATATAAAAAACAGGAAGAAAGAGAATAAAAACATTGTAGAAAACATAATTGTACAAAGCTGAATAGATTTTGTTCTTAAATAAATAAATAAACATATAGATAGATAGATATAGATATAGATATTTAGTCACTAATATTATTAACTTTCTTTTCCAGGAGAGGCCTCCGTTCATCCCAGAAGGAGCTTTGATTCGTAAGAGGGCGATGGAGGTGGACGCACCCAAACGCAGGCTGGTATGTTATGTTGTTTACTTCAACTCACAGAGACACCGGAGATATCCAACAACTCTCTGTGGGGCCTTATAATAATTCTGTTGTTCACCTTACAGGAGAGAGATCTGGAGGTGGAGCTTGGTGATGACTACATCCTGGACCTACAGAGTAAGAAGTGTTTTCATTTAAATGATAAAGCAGCCAGTAAGTAAATACTTAAATCTGCAGTGCTGATATCATTTTATTATGTTGTTGTTGTTTTTAAAGAATACTGGGATCTGATGAACGAGGAAGAGAAGCACGATAGGGTCCCGGAGGTGTGGGAGGGCCACAACATTGCAGATTACATTGATCCCGACATCATGAAGGTGAGTCTCTGCGCTCCTCGTGGTAGAAGAGCGAAATAAAGAAAATAGAAAGGATTTCATTTATTCGTCTGTCTTCTAAACATCCTGTGGATCCTCTCTCTCTCTGTCTCTCTCTCTCTGTCTGTCTGTCTCTCTGTCTCTGTCTCTGTCTCTCTCTCTCTCGCAGAAACTGGAGGACCTGGAGAAGGAGGAGGAGCTGAAGGAGCGAGCCGGGGAGTACGACTCCGACGACGAGAGCGAGGACGAGGACATGCAGGAGATCCGCGTTCTGGCCAAACAGATCCGCGAGAAGAAGCAGCTGCTGATCGTGCAGTCAAAGGACAAGGACGTGCACGGGCCCCGCATGCCCAGGACCACCACCAAGGTGAGAGGGGGGGGTCAATTTAAGATCATCACTGCTGTATCTGTATTGGTCTGTACAAGGTTTGTAGAAAATCTTAGAAGATTAATTGCTTTCAAGGTTAGGAATGAGCCTGGAAATGCTGGATTTTTCAACATAATCTTGTGTTTCATCCTCACAAACAGTCAATGAACCAAAAAAAACTGTTAATATTTGAACCGAAACGTCACATAAAATCATATGTTTGTTGTCTCCTGACGCGTTCGCTTGGCGATCATCGTTAAAAAAGTTCCTCCGTTCATCCTTCAACTCTGGAAAATGAGCAAAATTCAATAATCATGATCAGAACAATAAATCAAAGTTAATATTAACAGTTCTTAAAACAAATAAAGTGACAATATACAATGATTTCTGCAATTTGGATGATAATAAGGGCTTGAAAGTGCTTAAAAAGTGCTTGAATTTTACTCTTTAAAGACTTTACAACCCCTGGCTGTGTGTATATCAGCTGATAAGTGACAAACAAATGTACTAAATGTTTTAAAAATTGATGCTTATTCTTAGTTTCTGTGTGATATTGGATTATTTTTTAACTCTAGTATCTATAAGGGTCTAATATATCAGTATGTTTTGAACATACATGTGACAACAGGAAACCGAAAGAAACAGTGAACGTATTCTCAGGTTTATCTTAAAGTATTACGTTATGACTGTGTGGGAAGGCAGAGAGAGATCTGAACATAATAAATAAAATGCTTTGAGTGTCAAACTTCAGCATTAATGAAAGTAATTACTTTTAAATTTAAACAACTTTTGGACTTGAGAGAGATAACGTGATACAATCCTCAGCATTTTAATTTGAAAAGCCTCTCAAGTTTGGAGTGTCACCTACTCAAAGTATCCCATAATGCCTCCATTTTATCTGTTTTTGTTGAAGTAGCTGACTCCATTTGCATTCAACCTTTTACCTCGATGGTGATTGAGCTTTAGTATTATAAAACAATGTCTTTATCTTTTTGTAACACAGGCTTATACTGTCCGTGTTTTTTTTTTTTTATGTGTACAGGTTGAAAGAAAGAAGCTGGAGAAGGAGATGGGTGAACTCGGTCTGGACATGAATGACAAGGACGATGTAAGTTCTTCTTTTTTTAGACCTGAACCTACAGGATACATGAATTGTATAATATCATATGAACTGTGACCTGTTTCATAATGGTATGTGAAAATGTTAAATATTGCAGCTTTTTTCCGAAAGCAAACAGAATAATCTCTCTGTAAATGTGCATTGAGATTCTGCTGTTTGTTTTTAGCACTTTTTGAGGATTTTTAGAAATAAGTTATAACAAGTAAAGTTCTCTGTTATAACTCTCTTTGTCCCTGGATCAATACGGAAAGGAAAACAGGCCTGTGGTGGACATTTTTTAGTTTTTGATTTTCCCAATGTCGACGTCATATTTCAACTTAAAACATGACAGAATTATGTCCTTCGCCAAATACCATTAAACCATTAAACAATCTCTTCCACCTGCTACTACAGAAGGCACACACACACACACAAGCACTGGTCATAAGTATTTTCCTCTCGTTCTTTCAGAGTCACTACGCACAACAGGCCCGACGGTCCCGAAGCATCACTAAGAAACGCAAGCGTGAAGCTTCGGCCCCTCCGACCTCCAAAACCCGCAGCCAGAGCGCCTCCCGTCCACCACGAGACCAGTCTGGAATACGGGATCCAAAGGTACGTGAAGGCCGCCTTTACTTTAAACTATGCTGCAGTTTATATACCCGCTTCAGTGTTTTTTGTGGCTGATAGACTGAAGTTTCTCTGCAGTCGTTACTGTACAAAGGAATTAACTTGATTTTTTTAAAGGAAAATTGCCTTTTAAATGAATTATTACTGGTATTTTTGGTTAATTTTCTCCTTTGCACTCAAAGTTAGTGCCATTAATCTAGTGACATTGTACAGCAAGTCAAAGTTTTTTGCTCATAAAAATGATATATGTACACAGACGTGCACATTCAGGACTCCTTTAATAACAAGACCCTTTGAATGTTCTGTTGTTTTGTTCCTCAGATGGCAAAGAAGGCAAAGAAGATGATGAAGAACTCCCAGAAAGACATGAACCGCCAGGGCAAGAAGGGAGAGGCGGACCGACACGTGTTCGACCTCAAACCCAAACACCTGCTGGCCGGGAAGAGGAAGTCGGGCACCAACGATTACAGATAAAACTGCTTTTTCTGGACTGTTTCTGGACACACAAGTTTCTGTGTGGATATAATGTTTGTGTCTTCATTCTACACATTTTCCCACAGCAGTAAAAAAATAACATCTTTCCTTTTGTATCGAGGAAACTCTGGTTATTTAGTATTTTTGTGACCTGGAGCGTCGTCCTTCAGAGAACTGTAAAGCTGCTGGGGGGAAAAAACCCATTTAAATGATTAGTAATTATAATAATAGTGTGTCATTTATTCGTCAGATCTCAAGTGTTTGCTCACAAAAGTTTAAACATATGGAACGACTGTATATGGAAAAGCAGAGACTCGGGAACCAGTTGTGTGATGGTTAATGTCTTTTGTTTCTGCAGTTGCCATATTTAAACTTAGACCTTGATTAACAAATGATGTGTTAAATATAATTCAGTTGTTAAACAAGTTGAGTGAGCTTGCATGTGGCCAATGCTGGGTTTACTTTGGATAAAGTGATGTTGATACAACCTGTAAAAGTGTCCCCTTTGAGTAATATTCATTAACGAGGGAGCCAAATAAATATACACCGGAACTAAACTGCAGTCTGTCAGGTTGTTTTACATCTTTCTTTTATATATTCCTCTGGATAGTGTGCTTAAGTCTTCTTCTCACTTCATCTTCAACCTGTTTTGAGTTGGAAATTGTGGTTATAATCAGTTTGCTATCCAAAAGTTTCCCTTTTGCAGGAGCAATGCCCCCAAATGTTCACTACTATCGAATATACAGATGTGGTACAATACAAGTCTCTGAACACCCGCACAGGTGGTTTCAGTTAATCTGGCTGACTAGACCTCATCTCAGGACTGTGTGGGCTTGTATACTGTAATGTGTTTGCTTTTGGAGATTGATTTGTGACTTAATAAATTCCCATCAAAGCTCCAACCTGAGCAGAGATCTAATGAGCCAGAATTACTAAAAACAATAACCCTGTGTGGGGTTCATGGGCTTTAACATGTTGTACAAGTGGTCAAAAGAAAATATTAAAGTTTTAATTTTAATATCTACTATAACAATAACCCAGTTCGGTGTCAAATGCTTTCACATTTAACACATTCAATTAAATTACTTGTTTAAAAAAAACTAATGATCTGTTGCAATGGGCTTAACTCCACTGAAAGAGACATGTATTTGACTTAAATGCCACCTTTAGATATTTCTATTCAATGCTTTACTAATGTGCTGCAATAATGTAATATTTTTGAGTTAAAATCTCTTGATTTTGGGTCTTTTCCAAGCAAATATTGTTATGTGATTGTTTGCAAGTTCTTCCACCCTATGAATATTTTCCTAATTTTAATCCTTTTTACTAGCTTTTAATAAGCCGAATTTACAGGAAGATCATACATTAACAAAAAAACATTTTAAAGTTAATCTTTTTGGGTGCTAGCGTGTGTAAATACACAAGAAAACAAGAAACCTAACAAATTTTGAATGGGGTATGGGTTTTGAAGCTCGCAAAGCTTTTATTGTGAAAAACCCCGTGCCGGAATTGGCTTCGTTATCTTTTCTCCTCACGTAGCGGAGCTTCGTCAACTGTCAACACGGATTGTGGACGAAAGAAACCTGCGCCACTTTTCTCCCCCACTGAAAAAAAATGACACAAGGGGCGACACTTCATTTACCCACAATTTCCCCGGAATAAAACTTTGTATTTGACTTTTTTTCTGGTAAGTTTGGGGGGGTCGTTGTTTCGGGACGGCTGTGTCGCCGTTAGCCGATTAGCTAGCAGCAGCTAATGTTGGAGAGGAGGAGGAGGAGGAGGAGGAGGAGGAGGATAACGGTAGCTTAAAGCTGCGTTGAGAGGCTAACATTGTCTAGACTTACTAGAGTTAACGCTCACTTACAGCCACGGGATTGTGTTTATTATTATATCTATGTATTTATCTTGTTATTACGTGTTTTTCCCCTCCACATAATGTTAGCTCGCTGCCAGTAAGAGGAACCGAGCTGTCTGACAGATACCAAACAAACCACTTATACCCCTTTTATATTATTTATTTCATACATTAATGGATGCACAGAGGCTGTACTGTGTTTTATTGGTTGACAGGCTGGTTTTGTGTGTTTCCAGAGACCTTTTTTGTGTCATTACTGGGATATAAGCATCCATAACAATGACTGGCTTTGTGGGGAATCACAATAAGAAGACCTACAGGCTTTTAAAATCACTATTGTGGGAGTTGTTTTTCATGTTTTGAGTCGTGATAAACTATAAACAAACTTTATTTGCTCACACAGGAAAATACCAAGTGTCTCAGTTCTCCCTGAAATACAATCATGAAATAATTTTGGTAACCAGTTTGAGCTGCAATGAGTAATTGTTAGTAAGAAAACTGTGAATATTCAGGTTTTCTTTAGTCCGCTGTGATGGTTGTTTGGGTTGTGGACAAAACAAGATATTTAAAGACATTTTTCTGATTGATTTAACAGAGAAAATGAGAATGATTGGAGGTATTTACAGTTTCCACCTCTTTAAATATGACGATTTACTACTTTTATACGTTTTTATATCAATCATACATTTAAAAAAAACAATACATTAATTGAATCGTGCTTCCAAGGACGTCTTATTGACTATTAAAATCATTTTAATAGAAAATATAATTGACAGATTAATCAGTTGCAGCCTTGCTGAATTATTTAAACGCCTCTTTAAGATGCCGGTTGCAGCTTCCATTAACATACAGTCCAATACGATGAACATTAACTAGATGAAGTGATGCTGTTAGCAGAAGATGAAGACGGTCTCCTCAGTAATCCATATTGTCCGTCCGTTTTCTGTTACAGGAAACGGGAAGAAAAGGTTATTAAAAGGTTGTTATTGCTGCACACTTCTCAGTTTCTGTCGCAGTAATCCCTCATGTTTCACCTTCGGGGGCCCCACTGAGGGTTTCTTGGACCCGGCTGCTCAACAACACTCTTGTTTCACACTGGTTCACTTTGTCATTTCACACGTTAACACGTTGAAGCTGCCAAACGCCACACAGCCGTCTCACGCTTTCCACTGAGCGTAGCAGCTTATTTCAGCCAGGAGTCGTTCTCTCGACCCTTCGGTTACCGTCTCTTTTCTCTTATGATTTTGTGCTTGTCAGACTGTGGTTAACGTCAGGGTTTTGGACGGAGGGATGCCGGTGGAGAGCGGGAGCAGCGCCGCCGCCCGCCAGGCCAAGCAGAAGAGGAAGTCTCACAGCCTGTCGATCCGCAGGACCAACAGCACCGAGCAGGATCGCTCCGGCCTGCAGAGAGACATGCTGGAGGGACAGGTGACGACTCACACACAGAAAACCCCACAAAGAAAGAAAGTATTTAAACAGTCAGCGCTTGTCTGTCTGTCATCATTAGCTCGCTGACCTGCTGTTGCTGTCAGCGCCCATAAGCACTCTAGTTGTAAGCCTAAGCCAATTAGGTTTTAATGCACCCATTTAGAGGGCACATAATGGTTTATATTGTTGCTGGCTTAAGCGTTGCCGCTATTACTCCATGATTGCTGCGAGGTTATTTTAACTGTGGTTCAAACAGGCGGATTCGTAACAGGCTTAGGCATTTGTGCTTCGCTCAGGTGGATCGGTTTCAACTTTCTTATACTGGGCCTCACTAGTACAGAACTGGATTACTCCGGGGATGCTGGGTAAACACTGGAGTTAATTATTGGACGAGAGAAACCGAGAGAAAAAGGATCAATCGTGTCTTTACTCTCAGATTTTACCTGCAAATACGTACGACATGAATCACACTTAAAGTTCTTTATGGTGACCTCTCGGCTGGAAATCAACCACGAGGTCTGCTCGTCTCGTTTAGTAATTTATCATTTTAAATGAGCTGATTAAAAAGTACTTCAGCGTTTTAAACAGAAACTAATACTCAGTATTAGTTATTCATCAGGCCGGGAAGGTGGTTTCTTTTCTCCAAACCCGATAAACTCGAGTATTTTAGATTACACAGAAGACGTTACACTGTAGTACTCGGAGTAAACTGAGATTCGTGTGTGAAACTGGCTGTTTTATGCTCCTTTTTTTGTTGTTATAAGATAAACAATACAGAGGATTAAGGTTGTCCTCACCTGAGCCTCGATACATGATATCATAGTCAGTTAGTCACCTTTTATTGCTTCTTTTAAATGTACTTTTTAAAAATATAGATCTTTTGGGGTTTTTTTTAGAGATGCACCGATTGCGATTGTTTTTTCCCGATTTCAACGGCATACACGAACATTTTTGTTATTTTCTTTAATGGAAATTCAATTGTTTGTTCATAATTAAACACCGAATAAGAGGTTGGACTCAGCTCGTGTCTCAGTGTCAGCAGTATGTTTTATTATTATCTCTAATAAACTTTACCACATGTTCTTTATTTGGATTCAAACTCATAAACTTAATTGCATTCAGGGTTTTTTTTTGATGCTCTTTATATTTTTATTTGAAGTTTTTTAATGTTGTGTTTGGGGTTTTTTTGTGCCCTCATCTGGAAGAAAGTTTCAGCTTTTTATGGTTAAAATTAAACTTGAATTAGCAGAAACAGTAACAGGACTGTGGCTTGAGATCACAAAATATTAAAGTTTGAAAGGAAGCAGAATAAACTTGTTTGCACAGCAGAAATTGGGACTTTTCAAAGCTGGAAAAACACAGGTGGAATAACAGTGACAGCGAAGCAGCAAGTAAAATAGCTTTCATTAATACACCTGTGTGTTTGTCTGTAACAGCTTCAACAACCAGTTAAATTACAGCTTTTTCCATTAATTCTGTGTCTGCGTCACAGTTAAAACACTGAACCTCACCTGATATACATCAACATTAAGGTATATTATTCCAGGGGTATTGTGCAGTAAGAGTATTTGCACATTAAACCTCAGTTTCTATTCCCAGCGCTCAGCCGCCTGTTGATAAATGAGGTGTTATTTTCATACAGAAATAGACATTTTTTCCTCACAGATGGAAAAACACAGGTGTAAATAATAAGATTAATGATGGCTGAACTCCTCCTGCAGTGAAATGTTTGCTGTGCAGAAGTCCTGTAACTTGTCCTACGTACCTAATATTGTGGATAAAACGATTAACTCTTACTTTTCTAGATATTTAGAAAGCTGCTATTAATCATGAATATTTCTGTCGATGTTTTAGAGGAAGTTCTCGCGACGTACACTTGAGTTTTTCTGGATTTTGGCGAGTTGTAACCGAACCGAACAGTGTAATCCCTTCCTCATGACTTCTTGTTTTTTCACTCTGGTCCCTTTTGATCCCAGTCCTCTGATAATCTGGAATCCTTCATGAGAATGGAGGTAAGTTTCAGGTGTCTAGTGTGACTCCCCCAAATAGTTTTTTAGACCTTACTTGTGTAGGTTTTGGTGTAGTTTTAGGTTTTGATTTAGTATTTAGAGGACGTGTCGTGTGGTGGTTCTGAAAGTGATTTAGAATCGGTTTAATCCTTTCCCCTTTAAAATAAGTGTGATATTCTAGATATTCCAGCAACATTTAGGGTTCAACTGCAGTAAACGAATAAAAGATTTGGGTAGGAGTGCTTCAATTTGAGGTTTGTTTGAATTGAGGACACAAAAATCACAAATAAACTCAAAGGCACTCTCTTTTAAACTATTAAAAGATTTATTGTCACTGCACGGCGTTTAAAAGAGAGTGCCTTGGAATTTATTTGTGATCTTTGCAAACCTACAGTAGGTTTTCTTTTGCTACACTTAAGTGGAGTTAACATTCGTACAGTTTGGTTACAAATAAATCTTGTAAACACTCTCCAAGGTAGTGTGACGCAGTGGCCGACCTGTGTAATTACAGCAGTGGCGTCCGTCACTTGATGCCCAAAAAACCCTTTTTCCTTTAAGGTTACATTGGGAAAGAAGCAGCTGGATATATTTTCATCACAGCCGCTGCGAAAAAAGACTTGTTTCACTATCAGAATTTGATCCATTCAGTCCGATAAGATTAAAAGTATTTATCCCCCATTCAAGTTAATGGAGGGTTAAACCGGCTTAAGTTAGCCGGCTCGGCCAGCATAAGTCTCTGTGCCACGGTGACCCATAGAGGATGCACAGTATGTATTCATCCGGGTAATTTCTGTGCCACTGAGCAGCTTTCACAGGATTGAACAGAGCGCCGCCTCCAACGCCGCTGTATCCACTTCTCTTTCTACATCCATGCTTGTAACCCAAGATCACGTGACTGTCAATGAGCTTGTTTATCGGACAGTTTACTTACCGGCATTTTAAGTTTTCTCTGCCTCTGTAAATTTGAACATTTGTGCAATTGTTTGCTGCATTTCCAGATTTCTACATGTTTATATTCCTTCTTCCGACTGTGTTTCCATCCACAATTTTAAAAGTGTTCACGCTTTGTTGAGGTGGAAAAATGTGCTAATTCACAATAACTGCCCATTCATTCACCTCAAAAAACTCTGTGTTTCGTGTCTTGTCACAATGATAAGCCAGTTGAGTCACAGGAAGTAGATCTGCTCCTACATGCAGTTCACTACAACAGCTACAGAGATTTCTAGTAGATGACTTTCTGCGTGCACGAAACTGCACAGGGCTCCTGAGTCTGCTAGAGTCTGTGTTTCCCAAATCTCTACAGTGGAGGTAGAGGAGAATAAAATCATGTCCTATAGTCATAATGCACAAAATAAATAAGAATAATGGGTTTTATCATCAGATCTGACTGCAGTTTTCCTCAGTGTTGTGTCCTGTAGTTGAATTGGATGTCTTTGCCGTGTGTAATGAACATTGCTAGAGAGTCAAACTGTCTTACTTACTCTAAATCCAACAAGCAAATGCTCCAAATAACTTGTTCCTTGAGCTTGATTTCCTCACAGAATCTGCCAATGTATGCCAGGCCTTGTGCAACACACACACTGAATGTCATAATGTACCTCCCCCCCCTACACTCTGCATCCTTCCCCCTTTTTTTCCATGCAGTTATTGTGTGCACCGTGGCACAAACCTTTCAGCTGCCAACATCAGCCAGTGGACGCTAACAGCACACTTGACTGATTTTCTTTAGATACTGTAGCTGCAGGGCAGCGATTCAGCCCAAGCAAGAGTGCGTTATGCAGAGTACACTAACGGCATTCAGGTACAACAGAAAGCAGTTTCATCATGATTGGACTGTGAAGAGAGATGGTCCACTTCCTGTTTGTGTCTTTGCTGCAGAGTCACAACAAGACTGTTTGTGGCTCGAGTGCAGAATTCACTACAGTAATAACTCCGATGTGTTGTGACTCAGCGTCAGAATCTAGTGTTTATTTTGGGTTTAAATTAGTAAAAATAGCATTTAAAGGGTCCTGTTTGTAACATTTAGGAGGATCTATTGGCAGAAGTGGAATATAATATTCATAGGTATGTTTTCATTTGTGTATATTCACCTAAAAATAAGAATTAGATAATAAGATTGTGTTTTTGTTACCTTAGAATGACTTGAAATAATGAAACACTGCCTCGAGTTTCTGAGCCACCATAGTTTCTCCTACAAGCTTGGAAGGGGAGGATGAGACGAGTTGGTTGCAGTCTGCAATCTCACCACTAGATGAACTAAATCTGCACACTGGTCCTTTTTCTCTGGTCATGAAATATTTATGAACATTAATGTTACATTTTTTTTTAATCTTAAAGCCAGGAGGTTAAAGTTTGTAGACACCATCTCATCCCCGGTGCTCTTCAACCCTGTTACTGATTCTGAAACAGGAGTTCACTCTTTATTTCCTTCAAGGTTTTTAGAGTCTTCTGCTTTGTATTGGTGATGCCAAAAGTGGTTTTTTTTTAAAGCCTTATTGTGCATCTGCTCTTTCTTGGATGAAACCCCTGATGTTGAGGTTACAGAACAGTCTAATGGCCTAAAATAAGGGCTCACAATCTTTTATTTTCAGCAGACTGACCATTATTTGATATCACTGCCAGGAGATTCACATCCTTCTGTATGCCTTTTTTCCGCCCCAGCCAACTTTGCTTTGTCATTAAAGTCACTTAATAGAATATCTATTTGGGTTTTTGAGAGGTCGGCAGATAAAACAATGAATTTGAAGCCACCACCTCGGGTATTTCTCACAGTTTTTTGACATTTTATAGAGAAAACTATTTATTTATTAATCAAAAAACCAACTGGAAGACGAATCGATAGTGAAAATAGTTGATAGTTGCAGCTCTACATACACACTACAGCTAGTCCTCTGTATTTGAACTGAAACAGCCTCTCACACACACACACACACACACACCTCAATCTCCTCTGTAATAAACCCACGTTTGTTTCATGTTCTCCTTTTCTTTCCCCCAAAGGACTCCAAACTGCCTCTGTCTCTGAGGAGCAATCTAATGGACATGTTCAGTCAGATCGAGAGGGAGTTTGAAAACCTCTACATAGAAAACCTGGAATGTAAGTCCTGTATTTCTGTAGATAGTATGCTACAAGGCTCCAAAAATGACTTATTATTTATTGCTGTTTAGTGAATGGATTGTAATGTAACTTCCCAGGTTTTCTCTCTTGCCTGTTGACTGATTAAAATGCGTTTCTATGGAGGGATACGTGTCGGATTTCCCAAAATCCCAAAAGATGTCATGTTTATGGGCACATGAGTGCCTTCTCTGTCCACAGTATCGAGTCGTGACACCCACCACCGGTCCAATATAAAGCCCAGAGTCAAAGCTAACATTACTACAAAGCTTGTGAAATATATTATATATATATTGTGGGTTTTATCTTGTTAACGACCACGTTTAACTCTCAGTACGCAGAGAAATCGAAACGCTCAACGACCGTTTGGCTGCAGAAGGACAGACTTTCGAAGGGGCAGATTTAGCCAAAGGAGCCCTGAAAACAAAAGGTGAGACACATTTCACTCTCCATTCGCTTCAGGTTCATGTACGTTTACATCTATCCTTAACAGCGTGTATCTAGTGAAAGTGGAATATTATTTTTAACTGTTTGTTAATATTGTTTTGTGCTTATTTTTGTCTTTTCTGACAATCCGCAGCGAGTCATAGCACCAGCCAGCTGTCACAAAAACTAAAGACGACCTACAAGGCTTCCACAAGCAAGGTAAATATTGTTTTATGTGTTTGTTTTCTTTAAATTATTATCCAGAAATGTGTAAATCATTGTTGTACGTATTATAAGTGGCAGTCTGCTTTAATATGTGTGTGTTTTTATATTTTATACTGTTGAAGATGGTTTGAGAAAACTGTCCATTGACTGAAAAAAAAAAGCTTTAATTGGTAATTTGGCTTCACTGTTTTCTAGTTCGTCAGTGTACCATCACATGTTTTTTATTTTACTTTTTGAATGTTGAATAGAGAAGAACTGCTCTCTTTTTTCCACCTCTTTGCTCGTAGCCGCGTTCAAACTCTTGCCACGCCAGAGTAGGTGGATCCCGCAACTTCAGCGTAACCAGTTGGGAGTTGTGGGGTGGAGACTCATGGGTAACTTGTTGATTTCTCCCCCTTGTGTGCCAATATGCATGAACAGCCCAGCCAGGGGGTCGACACTCCCTCCCCAAGAGACATGGTCATTCAAATGTAGGAGTTTGAGCTTTTTTCTATCAGTTTCTGTGTGAGATAAAAAAAAAACAACAACAACAAAAACGACTTTATTATCTCACTAACAGGCTTTTTTTTTTTGTTGCACCTCTTTTGGTTTTGATCTATCTACTTTTTGTCGGCATTCACATAATGGTACACTACGGAGACATCTTTTAACATGAAGCAGCTGTTACCTCAAAATGCTTCTTGTGCCTTGATGAGTGAAGTACTCAAGGTTGGAGGAGCATTTGTTGGCTGCTTTAGATCATCGCTCAATGAAGGCAGAGTGTGTGCGGTCTGCTGAAAACTGCTCGGCCATATCGGATTTTGCTTTTATTTTCTAAATGTTTTTAAGATTAACACCGACACCTTGATACCTTTATTAGCCTGTTAAAGGAGATCCATCAGATGTGGGGGCTTTTAAAGGATTAATTCTCTCAAATTACAAGAAAACTCTGAATTCGTACACATTTCTGCCTCCACTGTGGATCCTAATACGGATATTTGACAGTTTAAAACAACATATAAAGATATATTGGCCCATATTTATTTCTTTTAATAGAAACACGCGACTAGAGCTGCAACAATTAGCCGATTAATCAATTAGTTCGGTCGAAAGACAATTCGTTTCCAACTATTTTGATAATCAATTAATCATTTTAGCCATATTTTAAACAAAAATGTTAAAACATTTGCTGGTTCCAGTTTCTTAAATGTGATGATTTGCTGCTTTTCTTTGTCATTTATAATAATAAGTGAAGAATCTTTGGGACAAAAGCAGCAATTCACTTTGGGTTCTGGGAAATTGTGATGATTTTCTTTTTTTTGACGATTAATCGTGAGAATAATCAGCAGATGAATCAATAGTGGAAATAATTATCAGTTGCAGCTCTACACATAACACCAATATTTATTCTGTTGGATCTTTTTAACACACAGTATGAACTCGGAAGAACATTTTACATTTTAAAAATAAACTGGTGGACAAACTACGTAATAAAGACTGTTTGTAAATTAACATATTTTTGGCATTTCTCTCCTTTTTGTTACTTATTGATCGACGTATATGCCAGACAGTACCAATATATATCTGCAATAAGCTATTATCAGCCAATGTAACAGTTTATCTTCATTAACTAGGTTTATTTTCACATATATTGATTTGATATTTCAATTTATTGAGTATAAAATGAGCGAAATCCTGCTGTGGCTGTGGCAGACTGCACACTGAAGCTACAAACTTGTAGAGCATTAACCGCTCGGTGCGTTAGATTCACTCCTCAGTTTACTTTTAAGCTTATTTTGCGTTGCTTCGCGTTTCCTTTTTAAACCTTCCAGTTCCTGTTGCTTTAATATATATAAGAATATATATAATATATGGAAGTTCTGGATTCATCAGATCATCCAGAGTAACTTAACGTAGTAAATTCATGTTACATTGAATGTAAATGAAACAGAAACTACGCTGTTTTATATTCCTATAGCATAGAACTGCTGCGCTGCTTGCTAACAACCAGCAACCACTCCTTCCCACAATGCTCAGCAATGGTATTATTCATCATATCTTTCAGCATCAGTTTTTATTTATTTTTATTTATTTGATATCTTTTTTTAACAGATGTGAGGGAGATGCTCTGTTTCTACGTGTAGCTTTATTTCTCAGATGAATGACGCCGTTCTTTCCTGCTTCCTTTCAGTTGGAACTTATTTAGTGGTCTGTGTCCAAAACGAACCAAGAGTCCAGTTTGTATCATCCCCATCTTTAATGTAAACACTTTGACCACAACCTTTGATACGACTGATAATAATACTGATCAATTTCTTCTGCCTCACCCTGACTTATTATTTTTTGCCCCTCTCGTCCCCTTCTGGATTAATTTCTTTTTCCTTTTTCATTGGCGGTTTTTGCATTTATAGTAATCCTGGTATGATAAATGCACTTTACAGTACTGATACTTAATGTGTCTGCATTTATGTTGATACCAGATCTGGGTTGACTTTAATGGTGTTTGTTTTCAAGCAGCATCAGATGTGGGGGGGTATACATACAACAACTCCCACCTAGCATGTGCTCAGACAGGCTTAAGACAAATACCAATAAAGTTTATTTATTTATTTATTTATTTATTTGGTAAAACCTCTTTAAAACCCAGCACTTATATGAATAACGCTGTTGTCAACCAAAGCTTCTTATCCCTTGCATACTTCAAGGACCCTGCTGAGCAGCTCCTCAGTTCTGCTGACCCGCTTCTCCCTCGATCAGACCAGGGTTCCTACACAGCTCTGTTCAATTAAACAATTAAAACTGGATCATTTCCAGGCCTTGAAATGTTGTTAAATTAGGTACTTATCCATAGTCGGTGTATTACAGTCGATGGCGGTCAGCACACCCCCAAAAACCTTCATTTATTTTCAGCGCTTTACCATCAGACAGCCCTTTCTGATATTTAAGCTGCTGTATCGCTCTTCACCAGACTCCTTTGACAGAAACAGTAATTTTAAGAGTAGGAGAAAAGTGTATGTCTATATTTCTCTATTATTTAACTCACGTCTCAGTCCTCCAGCCTTCTTAAGCCTCAAGACTATTTCCAGTGATCAGTGCAACCCTTTGGTGTGCGTTACTTTTCTACACTAAACACAGGAGTTGCTGGTCTAACGCTGCCTCGACAGACTGAGTCTGTTGGCTTTGAAGAGAGCATAGATGGATATAATTCCCTTTAGTTCCCAGTGAGTAAGTGCGGTCTGACAGCAAGGTAAAGCAGTGAAAATATTCTAAATATAACTTAAATACACTTAAATTGATCAAAGATACATTTTGCTGCAGCGCCCGTCCACAGCAATACGTTGCTTAGCTTCTTCTCTGAACTGATCTACTGTAACACTGGTAGCACACTGACTATGGATAAACACCTCATACAAGCCCCACTTCAAAAAATCTGAACTAAAACTTTAAGGTATAAATGGCACACTATCCTTTATAGAACATAAGTGATTACGGATTTATTGATTTGATGCAATTTCATTAGTATTGAGCATTTAAAGTCACTAATTTAACTAAAAAAGGTGATAAAAAATCATCTTTACTCCCCAAAAATGCCAATTTACAGTCTTCAATTTTATCAATTTGATTTTAGGAAGAAGTGGAAATGTTAAAATCAACAAATCAGTCTTGATACCCAACAACAAAAAGACAAACAAGAGGCCACTTTGAGAAGTAAAATGTGTAGAAACCCTGTGAGGTTCAGCACGCGGCAGTGATTTCCTCTCTGTGTTAACGTGAGTTTTTTATGTCGGCGTCAGATCGTCTCCAGTTTCAAAGCAACCACGTCCAGAGCCGTGTGCCAGCTGGTGAAGGAGTATGTCGGCCACAGAGACGGCATCTGGGACCTGAGCGTCACCAGGACACAACCTGTGGTGCTCGGTACTGCGTCTGCAGGTATTTCACTCACTTTCATCCTTCCTACAGTGAGTTTTGTCTTTGAGATGTTTTATTTAACTTAAGAAACTCAGTATAAAATCACTGTTGAATGTAAATCTAATGTTTTTCCCTTGTTTGTGTCCATAATGTGTCCGAACAGACCACACTGCGATGCTGTGGAGCATTGAGACGGGAAAGTGCCTCCTCAAATATTTGGGCCATCAAGGATCAGGTAGATCAGTTTCTCCTACAAGCTTTGAAGGTTGCGCTGTATTCAGTTGGTTGTAATCTGTAACTTCACCTCTAGATGCCACTGAACACTACACAGTCACCTTAAAGACATAAACATACTCTATATACTGTTACTGACCCCTTAGGTTTGGCAACATGATGACCATTATTAGGAAAAGAAGGGTTACAGCACAAGTATTGTATCAACAGCGTCTAATATGATGTTTTAAATCTTTCTGTCTGCAGTTAACTCCATCAAGTTCCACCCCACTGAACAGATGGCTCTAACAGGTAATGATCCAAAACAAACACCTTTTTAAAATCCTCTGTGGTAGCAGCCTACATCAGTAGATCTTCTTTACTAATTACCTCCTACAACAACTCGGGGATGTGTGGACCCCCGAACATTTCACACACACACTCTCCTGACTCTGATAGTCTCTGTCCTCCGCAGCCTCTGGAGACCAGACAGCTCACATCTGGAGATACATGGTGCAGCTGCCTACTCCACAGCCTGTTGCTGATATCAGTGTAAGCGTCGACAGAACTACGACCTGTTTGTTGGACAGTTGTTTGGACCTTTTTAATTTGATTGTTTCCCCGCCTGCAGCAGACTCCCTGCGAAGACGACGTGGACTTCTCGGATAAAGACGAGGCCGATGGCGAGATCGAGGGTCCAAACGACTGTCCTTCTATCCGCGTGGCGACCACGACTCTGCGCAGCCATCAGGGCGTGGTGATCGCTGCCGATTGGCTGGTAGGAGGCAAACAGGTTGTGACGGCCTCTTGGGACCGAGCCGCTAACCTGTATGACGTGGAGACCTCAGAGCTGGTCCACTCACTCACTGGTAGGAAGAAGAGAATATTATAACACTACAATGTTCTCAATGAGTGTTTACTATAAAGCTTTGGGCTTAAACATGTATGTATGTGCGTGTGTGTGTCTGTGTGTGTGTGTGTGTGTTTGTGTGTGTGTTCAGGCCATGACCAGGAGCTGACCCACTGCTGCACACATCCCACCCAGCGTCTGGTGGTCACCTCATCCAGAGACACCACCTTCAGACTGTGGGACTTCAGAGACCCGTCCATCCACTCTGTCAACGTGTTCCAGGGACACACAGAGTCAGTCTGACACACACACACACACACACACACACACACACACACACACACACACACACACATTATCCTCTTAAAACCTTAAATTTGTTTGCTCATAAAGATGATTATTGATTAATAATTTTATGTTTTATGTTATGTTTTCAGTTTTTCTGATTTATTTATTTAATTCATCATTATCATTACATAACAAAACTGAAATAGACTATAATTTGATTTCATTTGCACCATAGGGGGGCAATTAAACAGTTGTAACAGCTACACATGAGAAAATTCAACTGTATAAAACAATATTCATCTAAATAAATGTTAAATAAAAAATACTGCCATCTACAACTGTGTTATTTAAACAGATGTGGTAAAAACTTACTAATTCTCGACGATACAAAACATATTGACCACAGAACCAGACTCCAGTTGTTGCCCTCCGTCATTTATCTTCAGTATGAATCTTTCTGGTCTTTGGCAGCACGGTGACGTCTGCTGTGTTCACGGTGGGAGACAACGTGGTGTCTGGGAGCGACGATCGAACCGTCAAAGTGTGGGACCTGAAGAACATGAGGTCGCCCATAGCAACCATCCGCACAGACTCCGCCGTCAACAGGTCCGTGAGCTGTAAACAAACTGAGCAATACATGTGTAATAGGTAGTGACACAGGGGAAGTAAACTGTTTATGATTTTAGATCTAATAATAATCATAATGTATGATCTAAACAGCAGCAGATTAATTATGATCATTAAATTCGCCGTTGTTCTGTCCAGGATCAGCGTGTCGGTGAACCAGAGAATCATCGCCCTTCCTCACGACAATCGGCAGGTCCGGCTGTTCGACATGTCCGGGGTGCGACTGGCTCGGCTCCCACGAAGCAACAGACAGGTCGGTCAGCTCGAGTAGCGAGTGCCTCTGATTTGACCCCTCACAGCTTCCACACACGCACATTTCCCCTCATTATGACACTGAGTTATTGCTCTAACGTCGAGATCCTTAATAGCTGACAAAAAGGTGATACGTCTGCTAATGTGTGAACTGTGGATATATTGAACCAATCCACAGTTTTCAGAGATCATCAGGTTAATTTGAGCCTTTACTTGATACAGTAGAGATTTATATCTACATCATTTTATACTTTATTGTTATTGATGTTAGTAGTTACAGGTGTTCTCCACCTCTGCTATGATGTAGTTTGGTTGAAGAAATGTACCGTTAATTAATACTGCTGTTAATATGGGCCAAACTAAAAACTTGAATTGAATTCTTATGCAACTTTTTCATTTATTTCCACACATTAAATTATTTTACTATTCACGTTTTACCTCTTTACATATGATATTGTGATAAAATCCTCAAAACATTACATTTTAAATGGCTATTCATCATGTTTTTATAGGTCATGGACATTCAACATGCTTATGGAACTTATTTATTTAATATATATGAGTATTAAATATCATTGTCCTCCTCAGTTTAATGGCAGTTTAATTTATAGAGCACACTTCATCACATGGAAACTCAATGTGCTTTACTTGAAAATACAAAATACAATCATAAACATGAAAACCTGAACCGACAAACAGGTCTAGTGAATAATTTTGAATTATACTTATAAATAAAAGCACATAAGATATTGTATTTGTGAGTCTGTCTGTATATTGTCATTATGTCACGCAACATGTCCACCGTCCTCAGTGTTGAACAGTCGCTGTGTTGTCTGTCGTGCTTCAGGGTCACCGGCGTATGGTGTGCTGCTCCGCCTGGTGTGAAGACAACGCCTCCTGCAACCTGTTCACCTGCGGCTTCGACCGGCAGGCCATCGGCTGGAACATCAACATCCCCGCCCTGCTGCAGGAGAAATGACCTCCACCTCCTCCCGCTGTCTCCTCACAGTGAAACTCCACCCAAAAGTCTGTCTCTGGAGCATCAAACACTCACATCCTGCAGGCTTAAAAGACGGCGTTAAAAAAAGGGTTTCATGCTTCTTTTTGTCTGTGAACACTTTGTCACATGTTGTTGTAACCGATATAAGATCACTTTGACTTTTAACAGCCGTCTTTTGAGTCTACAGGAGGTCAGTATTTGACGGGTCTGTCCTCCCCCAGACTTGAGGGGCAGGAAAAGAAAAAGGACTTGTGCTCGCTGCCTGAACCTGTCACGCTGTCTAACTCACCACGCCAATAAACACACAACACATTTGTGTGGTGGGGTTTAAGCGATTCCTCGCCATCCAAAAAAAAAAAAAAAAGTACCACTGATGAAAAAAAGCACAAAGACGTAACACGGGAGGTTCTTCTTCGTCGTCTTGGTTGAAAACTAAAATGCATTTTGCTGACACTGAAGTTAGATAAGTGAGCACATATCTGCTTAAAGCTACAATAGAGGAAATATAATCTGTGCCACTAACAGCAGATTATTGTTTGGACCAGGGTGGCAGTCTGATGCTGAGTTATTGGCAACTCGAGAAAGAAGCCCTCACTCTTACTCTGAGGAACTGACCCTAAAATCTGCTTCTGGAAATAACTTGACAAGACATGCAGTGTCTAAATTGGGTTTGGATAGTTTTGGTGAGCTTGTTGTTTTTAAAAGTGGATTTTCCCTTGATTCCAAAATGTTTTGGCTTCACATCTGTAATACACATAATACTGTTACAATCACTTTATCAGAGTAGGAGTTTTTTTTTTTTTTTTTAAATCACATTTCGGAACAAAGCTCTCGTCTTATTCGGTCCCTCCAGGAATATGTGATCACAACAATTCAACCAGTCCCTGTGAGTTCTGCACGCCGTTGCAGTTTTGTCCATAACCGCAACTTTTCCCAAAAAGCTGACCTATTATTGTAGTTTCCTGTCATCTGTCACCAAACTCGCTTCCTGGTTTGTAGTTGTGACCATGCAGACGTACGACGCAAGGTCTCACATTTACCCTCATAATCCTGATGAAGCCTTTTTGGTTTCTTGGAGCATTTCGAGAGTTCTTACCTGAAAATCACTGGAACAACTTAACCTTAATTTTTAACAAATTATACAAAAACAAATCACAACTAATTGCAATTATATAGAAAATCTGCAGTGAAATCAGACATTTGAGGCTGCAACAATCCCCAAAAAAAGCCCAGGAAACCCTGGAGGGACTGCTTGTTTGTCACAGCTCGATATGGAGTCTGTGTGTGATACAGTAATGCACTTTTTCTGAGCATTAATACCAATAGCTGTTACCTTTGCAGTTTCTGTAAATATCCAAGCACAGCTATACTTTGGCACGTAACCCAAAGGGCTTTCATGGTCCTATTCTGTAGTAAAAACTAAGGTGGCTGATAAAGGAACTGAAATTGGCTGATTTCTCTTCTGTGCTGACCTAAAAGAAACTATGAGTAAAACACTTCCTGTGCTGGCTGTGGTGCTTCGTTAGGACTAGAATGGTTTCTCTCCAGTGTGGATACGCTTGTACTGCTGGTATGTTGTTGGAAACAGTAGTGTCGTAGTGATATCACTATTCTGGGCGGCTTTCAGACTGAACCTGAACATTCAGTCACTCAGAGACACTATATGTGACATTTTTACTACTATTTCCAATCTACATTTTCAAATGTTAGTTAATTCCACAACAAATAAATCACTGTTAAAACATAAGTTAATTATAACTTACTAGATAAATCAAAGTGAAGATGTATTAAATGGTTCATCTTGACTTCCTTTAGGTACCTTTACTGACTTAAAACACAAGAAAACTAAACAACCACTCAAAACTTTCATCTTTACAGGAATGAAGAAATCCTGCGTTATTTTTAATCTGATTTGTGATTAAATTATTTAACACATTTTGCAAACTTTTGAGTGATTTAAATGTTTGTGTTCTGGTTAAAAGCCGACCATGATATAGATAGTGGGGGGGCTTTGGTCAAATGAGGTGCAAGCTACTGAATTTGAACGAGTATGGCTTCTCTCTAGTGCGGATGGGTTTTCTCCCAGCATTGACACTGGTTGTGACCTCTCTTCAGTTTGGATATGTTAATAATAATAATATTAATAATGAAAATGATGATAATCTTTATTTATATAGCACTTTTCAAAACAAGTTTACAAAGTGCTTCAAAATACACGGTGCAATTACAAATTAGAATAAGTTCAATGCAGTAAATAGAAACATTGATAAAGTGAATAGTGAATGAAAATCTTACGAATAAATGAGTAAAAGCATAAAGCAGAAAAATAAACTAATTTAAAGCCATTTTATAAAAAAATTTGTTCTAAAAGCTTGTCTGATTCCCAATGGAAGTTTTATTGTGGAGCTTTTGCTGGAGACAGAAGCATGAATGAGAGTTTTTGTATCGCTGAATGAAAGAAATTATCTAATACTCCTAATTTGACCCGTAGCTGATTTGGTGATATGTCTCAAGTGATTTCTGGCCTCATGGGTTCGCAGGAAGCTCTGGGAAACACCATCACCTCAGTTTTGACATTGTTCAGCATTAAGAAGTTTCTGGACATCCAAGATCTTGAGGCTGCAAGACAGGCTGTGAGTTAGGTAACAGGCGAGAGAGGGTCTGGTGGAAAATAGTGTATCGTCAGCATAAAATAGAAAGAAATATTGGACTTGATCCAGTAAAGGGCCAAGAATAGACCCTTAGGAACACCGCAGGGGATATTTGCGCAGCTAGAGGAGACTTACCCAACTGATACAGAGGTTCTGTCACTTAGGTAAGATTTAAACCAGTCTAGAGCAGTCCCAGTCACACCTTCCCAGTTCTCCAGTCGACCAGTTAATATCCCTTAAGAGAATAAAACGTCACTAAACTTTTAGAAGTGCACTTTCTGTACGATGATGAATTAAAAAACAAACTGAAACTCCTCTCACATCAGCCCCAATATGTCAGCTTCCTCTCCTGTGTGACCTCCCACATGATCTTTTATGTAGAGTTGTTCCGTTACCATTATCGGAAATTCCCCCGTCTAAAATATTTGGTATTGGCGCGTACGCTCGTCTGCAAACCGATCGAATCTTGCTACTTCCTAACAGTGTCCCGTTGACCCAGGATAGTGAATTCATGACCCGTCCTACTCTGAGAAAGGATTAAACCTGAGCCAGGCCATACAAAGATGACAGCAATCATATAAGTTTAGTGGTATGTATCAGCTCTCATTATCGGCCGGTACACAAAGAAAAAAAAGGGATCAGAACATCTGTACTTTTATGTGATTGGTCACTCTGCTCGCGGCGTTGGCGTCTGGATCTCACTGTGTTTTTGTTTCCGTAAAGCCATGAACCAGCCACTGTGTGTCTAGTAGACAAAAAAAAAGTAAACTCCTTGACCTGTTGACAGTTTATTGTTAGAAGCTGATAAATGTTTTACCCTCTAATCCCGTGTTTCCACTGCGCGGTACGACTCGACTCTACTTCGTTTTCCACTGCAGATCATCACAGCGTCGTTATTCCAGCAGTTGGGAAACAACACACAGAGCTTCACTTTGGGAAGCTGCGGCCTTTATTGGTTGACGCACTGTAACCTACACTGTACATTTACTGCCAGATCGACAACTTCACTGTTCTCTTTCTCCACTGCACTGCTCGAGTTCACCGTCACTGTCACAGCACTGAGGTACTGTTAAAAAGATAGGTACCAGGTTTAACCAGGAGAAACCAAAAGAGTGAGTAGAGGCGAGTCGTACCATGCAGTGGAAGGACGGGTTAAGATCTGTGTGCAGGGAGGAAAGGTGATTTTTTCGTCTCTTAAGAGCAACAAGTTTCTCTGAAGCAGTGGACACAAACAGGAAAATGTAAAAAGGGTCTTGTTTAGCTTCAAAAAGAGGCTTCAGGGAGTTTGGTCGACTGGTCTCTTAATAATGAAAGTATATAACGAGAGTTAAATTTAAATTACATTTTTAATGACTCGACTCATTAAATAGAACATTTTAAAATTGTGCACTTTAAATAATAAGTGAGACTAATTCTAACCAGTTTTCAAGAGTATTGTCTCATTTGTCCATTAAGATCAATTTTAATTTAAAAAAACGCAGAAAAACTACAGATGAATCTGCTTTAACATACGGTGTCTATTAACACTGTGATAATTAAAGTAACCATTGGACCAAACTGAACCTGTGGAGTCCTTTAAAGGTCCGGTGTGTAACATTTAGGAGGATCTATTGGCAGATAATATTCACAGGTATGTTTTTATTCAGTATATAATCACCTGATAATAAGAATTATTGTTTTTGTTATCGTAGAATGAACCAAACACTCTAGATTGGACCTTTTGCGGCCACCGTAGTTTCTCCTACAAGCTTGAAAAACGTACACAAATCTTACACTGGTCCTTTAAAGTATGAGTAAGTATGATAGTGAGTTCTCATGAGGGCTTTTTTTCTTGCAGATTAAAAAATAAATAATGGATAAAAAAAAATGTAAAACTGGTGTCAATTTTGAAATATTTAGCAACTGATGTTGAATGAAACATTTCCCCGTGATGTGCCGCCCTGCTGTTGTACTAATACTTGACATGATTGTAAAAAAAAAAAAAACACCCCCACCTCTTTCTTTAGTCAATCGCAGTGCCCTTTAGTCATTAGTGTTGAAACACTGTTGTGGAGAATTTTTTTGTTACGGTACTTTTAAAACTAGTGAAAATCTCTGCTGTCACCTGCTTTGCTTTCCCACTGCCACTAAAATAGTCTGCCAAAGCTGCATATAAGTAAATGGGAGAGGCTGTAATGTGTGTGTGTGTGTGTGTGTGTGTGTGTGTGTGTGTTGACATGATTTCACTACAACACGAGAACAAAGTCTAGTGTGTCTGTCCGTGTGGTGAATTACAGATCGACGTCTAAATAAGTGGTTAATGTTGTGGTTACCAGGCGGCTCTACGTTTCGCCTGCTGTACAACCGTCGTACCACTGTCGTACGTGTGTGTCTTCAAAGGTTAACGGCGGTAACACGATGAACAAGCACACAGTTTATTTCAACCTGATTGTTTCTGAGTCTAGCTGTTAGCCGTGTCGAGGTGGTTTGTAACTAAAAGTGTTCATTGGAGCAACTACATTGACGTGGTGATGGGTAGAAACGTGAATATCCACAGTTTCTATGTGTGTGAACACTTTACAGCTGCCTTTTTGCAGCGTATTAGCCGAGTGAAATGTGTTTCTAACAATAGAAAATTGATTATTATTATGATAAATACCATGTTTGATGAAATTAATTCGAATTTTGACAGCATCAAGATAAAATAAATGAAGATTTTTCACTAAATTAAAGTGATTACTTGTCAAAAGGCAAATGTAAAGTGTTAAAAACCTCCTCTCACTTTAAAACCATAACATTTGTATCATATAAATTGTAATATATGAGGAAAGTAGTTGGTTTGGCTGTATAGTGTATTTCAACTGCAGCAGTTTTATTAGCCTTTATAACTTGATGATCCTGCATTTGTTTTTATTTTGTATAAATCCATTTTTATTGCTTCATGATGGATGATTTTAGTTCATCTGTCGAAGGCTTTACACTCACACAAGTTCACTTTGTCATTTTTACCAGGGATGGTGAATGTAATGTCTTTGTTTCTTGGTCCAAAAGACTCAACTTTCCTATAAAAACAAGTTTAAAACTATTAGAATTATCAGGTTCTTTTGCTAGTAGTTATTTATATTAGTTTTCAGGTGTGATTGTTTTATATTTTTTACTGTAGGAACATTTAAGATCCCGTTTATTTCCTCCAGCTGCAATGAGATATTTTTAAAAAAACAACTTGCGACCAGAGACCGTTGAAGTCGTCCCTGGTTTAACTGACAAAACATTTAGTTTGTGTGAAGAGAATTTAAAAGCTGTGTGTGTGTGTGTGTGTGTGAATGTGTGAGTTTTATCCGATGTTGTTTCCTTTCACTGCACTTGACTTGCATTTTGTACCAACACTGAGCCACTCTGCTGCAGATGTTGATAATTCACCTGTTTTAACCGAGTTGTTGGAGCCACACTGTTCACGTTGTCAGTCGCACATTAAAACCAGATCACGTCATCGTCACTGAGCGTCTGCCATCTTAAATCCACCGTCTTAAAGCCTTGTTAAACTGTGGCTCCTTTGGTGTTAACAGTGTTTTGTGTGGTTGATGTAAAACGACAGACGCCACAGCTCAGTTCTCAGAAGAAAAGAGAAAAAAAAATAAAAGATGAAAACCTGTTGGATCGACTTGACAGCAGTTTTGTGGATTATAGCTGTGTAATAATAAGGAACAAGCGTCTGCTTGTGAAATCAAAATAAACCAACTGTGCTGTTTGAACCGTTTCTAGTTGAGTGGTTTTTTTGGGTTGTGTGTTATTGTTCAGATGCAGTCGACTGTACACCACACGCTCCCAGAAAGTGGAACATTTAGCAGTTAAACAGCAAGATATTTTAATTAACTTAAACTGAAATGATGTTACGTACTTATAAGACAAAATAAAATAAAAACGCAATAAATGTCTTTAGTTTTAGTCTTTGTCAACACAAGCATGAGGAGGCGTTGGTTATATGTTTGAGACCTGGATATCTACGTGACTGAGTCAGTGTGTTTGTAATTAAGTAATTAATTCAACTAAAACTGAACTGAATTTTAAAAGAAAATGAAAAACAATACAAAATAATGAAAACAAAGCTAATAATAATCGGTGAATGCTAAAAGGAAAATATATGAACTAATATGTCAAAATTAAGTGTTACAGTGGTTTTGTGTTTGTCGTAAAGTCACTTATATAAAGTAAAAGTTTTTTTGTGGAAACATTTGTATTGATAAGCTGTAACAGTTACAAAATGAAACTTAATATGCAACCACTGATTTTCCTTCATATCCTTTCATTCTTAACGATCTTATAAAAGTCTTAAAAAGTCACTTTCTGTGCAGACAATCGATGTAGTGCATTTTTAAATCCCCATTGCTCTTTAAAATGATGCTATTACGCTCCTGGAAGTGACTATTTTCACAGACACAAACACAAATAACACAAATAAGATAATTTATTCCCAGTGATAAAAATAGTCATGACCAATATAGACTACATCCATTCTGCATACCTAATAATAAAAGCTTACAGAGCATTCAAACCAGTGGCATTCAGTAGAAGTACTCTATTACATTCCTCATCTCCAGAGAACATTTCTTTAAATAAACACCAAAGAGACAACACAAGAATAAACTGTAGGATATTATTAAATAAATTGTTTTAAGGGATAAAAAAGGTGAAATCTAGAGGACAAAAAGGAAACACTCGACTATACTTTTCTTTTTGACTCCACATCTTGTAATGCACACAATATCCCGCTAGGTGGCAGCGTGCACCTTCACGCCTGAGCCTCATTTACACTCTGGTACTCAACAACACTGTTCAAAATGCATGAGGGTGAAAAACTTTACTGTCATTAAAACATAAAGTCACATCACAGAACGAAAATGTTTCTAAAATTAGACAAAACAAACACAGAAAAATGAGTAAGAATGATATTTAAATTTTCAAGGAAGGAAAGTTGTTAAATGAAACTGATTTTGCTTCACAGCCATCAGCCGTGTTTTATAATAACGTGTTATAATAATAATATTAGAGGAGTTATTAATCTTCTCACACACTCACATTGTTGAGGTAAGTCTATTCAATGTCCTCCTAAACCAGTGGTTCCCAACCTTTTTCCATCATCCAGTAAACTGACTGAGATGATGTATAACAGTAACAGTAGAGAACAGCTGATAAACTAAACATTAAACCCAAACAGTGAACACAGTAACTGCGGGAAGTTTGTGTAAAACGAGTGATTTTTAGCAGATTATTCCCTCTGAATATTGATCAGAGATCAGTTTTCCTGATATTTTTAGCAACTTTTTATAGAATTCTCTGTCTGTATTAAATTTAATACATATATATATATATATATATATATATAGAGAGAGAGAGAGAGAGAGAGAGAGAGAGAGAGAGCACCTCTTCCAACCACTCAAAGGGCTTTTTACACTCCATGTCTCACTCACCTGTTCACACACATTCACACACTGATTGCGAGGTACCAGCAGACATCAGGAGCAATCTAGGGTTCAGTTTCTTGCTCAAGGACACTTCGACATGCAGCAGGAGGAGCCGGGGATCGAACCGACAACCTTCTGATTAGTGGCTCTACCACCTGAGCTACATGTGTATTTTTTTTTAATAATTTTTAACAATCATACAAACTTAATGGTTTTTATTTTTAAATACAGTTTGTGTTCAGGTCTTCAAAGTTTAGATCTTAAATAATAACCTTAAAAATAACTATTTTATTTAGTTTCCCTCACAGAAATAAATGAAATATTGAGATATAGGCCTATTGTGTATTTCTTTACAATGAAGACCCGACCCCGGGGTTGGGAACCACTGTCCTAAGCAACAAAATCATGTTTTATATGTGTATCTGCTGTTGTACTGTGGCGTTTATGAGGACCAATATGAGTTTTTAGACCTTATAAATGACGACATTTTGACAGTTGAGGGTAAAGAGTATATAAGTATATAAATAAAAACATAAACACATGAGATAAAAATGGGATGAATGCGTCCAACTGCTTTATCTTTGGGTATCTAATTCCCTCCAGTCACATTAACAACATCAAATCGAGTGCGTCTGTTTCCTGTGGCGTTCGTGCCATGTTTGATAAAAGAAAACGAGGTGGAGAATCTCCTTTTATTCTCAACTGGGAGCAGAATTATTCCATCATTAGCCCCATGGCTAGGCTTGTAGCCACAGCTGATCATTTTAAATGAAGCCTTCATCAGCTTTTTTTAAAACTGTGTTTAAATGTGTGCGTTCTTTAACATGTAAAACTAAATACAATGCATTTAAATTGTAATTAATTCACCTTAATTAGCTGAATTGATTGCGTTATGGATCTAATTGGCTTTTTGTAGATATCTTATCTATAGTATCAAGCGGCTGCAACATTTATATCCAGCTGCACTCGTTTCTTTGCAATTAACAAGTTAAATTTTACTCTAAATAATTGTACATTGCTTACTCAAACTTATAGAAAATATCCTCAACGTCACTCCAGTGAGCTAGCGTTAGCGTCCAGAGCTGAATTTAGCAGCGTTTACTTACTAGCTACTTAAGCCAACGTTACACACTAAGAAGTATACTCCAGCGTTTGCTTAAATTGACTCTTCTGTATGCGCTGTTGTTCATTTGCATAATTGATTATCTACTCGTCTGTCCCGTGTCGCTCCAAAATCCCATCCTTCTTCTCAATCCTCTATTCTTTGTGCCTCATCCACATCTTCAAAAAAGTTTCACTCTAATTCATATTCAGCCTTTAAAGAGTAACTAAACCCCCCACTTAAAACCTCTGTATGTTCCTATTTAGGGATATTGTTGATTCATTCAGGTCCAAATATTGACATTTTAGTGCAAAGCATTTTAATTCTAAATATTGAATATGCACGCGGGCCGCCCTCTACTGGTTGAAACACGGCTGTTGCCTCTCTGCAGACTGCGGCCTGCTTCGTAGCCGTAGCCCGACACCACAGAGTCATCCTCTTTGAGCTGCTAGATAAGCTAATGTTACAACACAGGTAGCACACAGAGACAGCCACGAATGTGCTTCTAGTGACAATCAAAGCCGCTGTTTTCCTGCTACCCTGAGCGGTAGTGAGTCTGTTGCTCTGGTTGACCTTTACCTCCCACATCAAACAGCCTGTAGGCCACAAGGCAGCAATATTATGTATTTTTTAGCAGGATTTCTGGGGTTTAGTTACACTTTAACACACAGTTTTTCACACACTGACGCTGAAGTGACCCAGTTCTGGGGGTTTTCTGAGCCACGTTCCCAACCCGCCACCCTGCAGAGCGCTAATAAACTGCTGCATCGCCCTTTGGTAGCGTCCGGCAGTCATCTTGGAACCAGAATATGTCCCCGGAGTGGCTTCTGCACCGTTCAACTGAGAAAGAAAGACAGAAACATGATTCGCTGTCATAATATAACAACTAAAATACACAAATAAAGTCAGATTTGTGGATAATTAAGAAGATATTTTGCGGCAATTTGAAATGGTTGTCTCTAAGAAGGGTTCATGTTGACATTTGTCAATCATCTGTTGTACTTTTCAAAATGACACCTGTCACATGGAATATGCTTTTTCTTGGCAGACATTTTGACTTGTCAATGCAGGAAAAGCACAAGTGTGACTAATAACATTAACCATTAACTTTCCCTGTACAGCTCACCGGTAATTCAGCAGCCGGGACCTGGAACTGACACTATTGGTCACACCTGTGTTTGACGAGTTAGGCTGTCAGCAGTGAGAAAGGTCTATTAAACCTCTCCAGACTCCCTCTTCCTCTACTGTTTTATAAACATATTTTACTTCTTGTACCTTCACTTCAGGGTTTATAAGCTTCACTGTGCAGACTAGACACGAGAAAGCTGTTTCCACATTAATATACTTTCTCTGTGCTCACCTTAAATCTCAGGTTAAAACGTGTATTTACGTGTATTTAATGTGGAAACTCGAAGCCTCCAGTGCACAAACACTGAGAATGGACATTTAAGTGTTGTAGATCATAGTAGTTATTAAATGTTATAATAATTTATTCTGGATTTTTCATTGAAGGCGATATTTTAAAAATCCTTAATGAGGTAATTCAACATTTGTTGTGCAGGCTTTTATATCTACAGACGTAGTGGGTCACCTTCCATGGAGTCCACTGGCTCTAGATAGAGGCATTCGCTTTTTTTTTACTGTAGGGGAAGGGTACAACGAGCTGTGATCTGCAACTACGCCGCTAGATGCTACTAAATCCTAAACACTGGGCCTTTAATATTAAAGAAAAATAGCGGAGACCAGGTTTTTAGGGGCTTTAAGGAGATATTTAACATGTGTTTGCTTAATTTAATGTTAATATCTCGATTAAACTGTGGTGGATTTTGCAGCAGAAAGCAGTAAATCTGTTCCTACTGATCTACAGAATATCAATTTTTTTTTGTTCCTTTTTCTTTCCGTCTCTCTTTGTCTTTAATTTGTAGTCATTCTCTCTCGTTCCCCCTCACTTCATTTAATTCTTTTTCAAGTCATTGAGTCCTTAAAATACTGTGTCATTATGTAACTCGATGTTTCTCTGCCCCTCATTCGTTTCGTTTCCCTCCGTGCACGACGTTTTAAAATATTTTTAAAACTGGTGTCTTCCCCCCTCCATGTGATATTCAGAGCAGCTTCTCTCTTTACAATGAGTCCAGTTGCTTCTGTAAATAATTACGACTCCTGCCTGCCGTCATCAAACTTTTACACAGAGATCACTCGGTCCAGCACAACACTCTGTGCATACATATTTTAATTCACAGTGGAAATTAAACCCTGCTTTTAAAAACACCATTACTATTGTGGTGGTTTACGTCTGAGACTGAGCTCCAAGACAGTTCGACTCATTTGTTCATCTTTGATTGGTGTACTTCCCCTTTTATGTGACATTGTGAATAAGTTAACCCCCAGTGCTGATGCTTTAATAATCTGTCTCCCGTCTCTGACTCACCTGCTGCCGCAGCCTCTGCCAGCGGGCGAACACGGAGCGCCTGCAGAGCCGTGACGGCGTCCTTGAGTCCTGCCTCCTTCCCGTGCAGGTGCTGATCTCCTCCAGGCCTCCGTCGCCGCAGCTCCAGTTCACGCTGACGTTCGGCGCCTTCCCGGCCGGCCGGATATCGCTGCTGCTCAGACCTGGGCAGACGGAGAGGAAACCGCACAGGGGGGGATATTCTGTCACTACTACAACTTCTACAGTAGCCCAGAATGGACAAACCAAACACCTTTAGTCTCTCCTACACACACGTTCTCATTCCCAGGTTGTCAAATACAGACGCGAGCAGTGTTCAAATAGTTGCAAACGGCGACTGCACCGCTAGATGCCACTAAATCCTACACACTGGTCCTTTAAAGTGATAATCTTTAAGTTAATATAAGCTTTTTTTTGTTATTTTTCTGTTATCAAACTAATTATTTTGTTTATCTGCAATGAACCAGAAATGCACCTGAACCCGAACCAGACTGAGTGTCTTTGATTGCTAAAGATGATTAATATTTTAGTTGTGTAAAACAATCCAGGGCTGCACTTTGGACCTACAGCCGAGCAGCAGCTGCTGTCGTCGGTACGGGAAGGGCAGGTGCTTGACGGGCGCGAGGCGGCGTGCCACGGCCCGGCCCAGGTGACCCGTGTGGCTGAGCGTCCCCACTGTCAGGCTGTGCAGGTAAACCGGCTCAACCAGGTGAGACAGGAGAGCCCCCTGGAGGCCCACAACGCTCCACCTGTTGAGACAAACAAGTTTTTTAAAAAAAAAAGAGAGCAGAGTTTTCTGACAGCTTTTCAGCTGAGGAGATTTTCACTCAGGGCCCCATTAAGGTTTGACCGCTGTTTGACTCTCTAGACCGCACCAAGCTGTTACCCCTACTGCCTGAACTGAGTTAACATGATATTAAAACCATCTGCACTGTCCCTGAAATAGACCAACTGGGTGAGAAAGAAGTGGAAAGGAAGGAGAGAAGAGAGGTGGCTGACGAGAGACTGAAGCAGCTGTGAAACTGTGGCTGGTTTTGTTGTTTCAGAGGTGATAAAATCTTTGCAACTTCCAGCGAACACAAACACAAACCTTCAGCTGATTATAAACTAATGAAAACATATCTATAATTATCATATTCTATTACTGTCAATAGATCCTCCTGAATGTTTCACACTGGACCTTTCAGTATAAAATATTTTATTATTTCCATCAACTGAAATGCCTAAAAGACATTATATTAAATATCAGGACACACCTTCCCGGGCTGATTAGAAACTCACTTTGCCATTTTGTCGGTGCAGGACATGGTGACGAGAGGTTTGCCCGCCGCCACGCCGTCCCACTTCTGGTTGGCTCTTCGTGCGGTGATCGGCAGCGTCCCCTCGCCTCCGTCCACCTTCACCCTGAGGTGACAGTGGAACCGCCTGCTGGGATCTGACGCAAAAAGAAAAATACTAACTAATTAATACTCTCCCTTCCCCTGCTGCCACTGCTCAGCTGGACTGTCCAGGGTCTTGGTCTGTTAGTCGGTCCCCCACTAATTGTTTAAAACGTGTACAGTCTTTACCAATATGTTGCAGAACAAGGATGTTTATTTTCTTACGTGTGTTTTTAAGTGGAAGTCCAGAAAAATAAAATAAATGACACAGCCACGTCATCCGAGCACAGTCAGCTCGGAGGAACACTAATCAATGCACAGCTCCTACAGATGGATGAAATCTTGCACAGATGGTCCCCAGAAGATGAATCTTGCAGACTTTGGTGATCCCCTGACTTTTCATCTAGCGCCACCATAAGTTCAACTTTTGCTCAGTGCCTCAAGTCGACCAAAAAAAAGCTGCCAGTGACGTTTTCTCAGCGTTAAGCTAGTTGCATGTTTACACAGATGCGGTTACGCAGGCGTTACTCCTTCGCCACCCGTATTCCTCCTCTACTCTGCCTCTGATTGACCCTGACATTTTTTCCAACTGTCTCACTCCTCATGTCTAAACCTTAACCAACAACACCAACAAACACTGGACAGTCAGAGGCAGAGAAGGACGGATAAGTAAGTAAAATCAATCATTACGCAGGTGCTCAGGGATTCGTGGTGAGAAGTAAGGATGCTTGTTTGGACACAATCTGAAGCTAAAAATCGACGCTTACTTTCTGCAGCAGAAAACATATGAACATACTGTAGATGACATTTTATTCAGTCACTAACGGGGAGAGGAAACACAGACGTTGCTGCTTAATGAAGCCAGGTTCAGGTATTTATTATTTAATGTTTTCACAGAGTAAAGTGTTTTATGGTGGATTTTATCTTTAAAAATAAATGAAACTGTCTGAGGTTAGTGGGTTTGTGCAGCAGCGGCTAAGATCAGATCAGATATTAAAGATATTATAGTATATATCTACAACAAAGTGATCAGGTCTATATTTATCATATTTACGACACTAGAGTACGTCATCGTTATCACCATCTGAACATGTTTGTCTCACATGCAGCTGTGGTCTCGTACGGGCAGTTGAGTCGAGCGTCTCCACACGGCGACGAGCTGACGTACATGTGGAAGAGGATGCCCTCCCGCAGCCGGTAGATGCCACCACCACCGCCTTTATTTGGTAGGAAGATGGATTGTTCCTCACAGTCTGATGACTTACTTTAGAGAGGAAAGAAAAGTCCAACATGAGACTGAAACAAAGTGACAACAAAACAACCTTCTGGTAAAAGAAACTATTGATCCACCTGGGAAACTGCGTATTTTCATAGATTGTAATCTGTCGGTTTGTATTTATTGACAAGCTAAACAACCCTTGCAGATAAAGTTCATTGTGATTATTTTAAAAGGTATTGGGATTAAAATATTAAAGAAAACATATTTTGTTCTCCGTGATATTAGTTAAATAAACTAAATGGCAACAATAAATAATAAATAATGTTAGAATTTAAGTTTAACAGTCAAATGTTCTGACAACCTGCTTCATCAGGACTCGGATGTGATTTGATCAGATTTGATTGACAACAACTTGTTAAATTTTGATACCTGACATAACCTTTTCCCGAGAGAGCCCCACCTTCACAACACAAACACAGAAACCCTTTTAAATAACTAATATGGTGGCAGATGACTTACAGGATGAAGACTTTAATACAAGCGTGTAACTATGATATTTTTCCTAAAATTAAAGGAATTATAATATATTGCACGGTTTTCGGTATCGTATCGTGATACGTATCCTGTCGCCATATTCTTGCCACTACACAGCCTTAGTGACCAGATTGACTTATTTGTCATTAGTTTGGTGATATTGTAAATTTTTTCTGTCAACAAATTTAGATGAAAAGACCCAAACTAACAATTAATGTATCTACTAATTAAAGTATTGTCTGTGTATCAGAGCCTGATAGATCTTCTTCCTCTGTGCCCCAGAGCTCTAAAAACTATTTAAAACACATCAATGAGCCACACTGTCGCGCTGTGAGACATGTTCCTTCATCACCATGAACAAATACCCCGTCCTGCTGCACCAAATACTCACTAGAGCACCGAATGTGGATTCATCCGCCACTGGAAATAGTCCCCACGCAAATGCACTATTTCCTCCTGTTTGAATAAAAACTAAAAACTACAGTGAGAGCAGCTGTTTTAGGAAATCGCTGAACCTTTTTAAAAAGTGATTGTATAGTGTTATATTTGTGTTTTTCAAGATTTACATCTCCAGTAGGAACCAATGGTCTTCGAGCCAAGAGCCACAAACAGGAAGTTGGAAAGTATTGACAAATAGGGTTTTTTTTTTTTATTGGATTTAAGGACAGCAAGATAGGTGCATATATATATATATGGCAGCTTTGTACTTTCAATTAAAGCTTTTAAAAACAAATCTGAAGGCAAATTTCCTGCCGAGACTGGACAGCGAAGAAAAACCAAAACCATAAAAGTCGTACCAGAGCAGCAGCTCCAGCTGAGCGTACAGGAATCGAACCAGCGCCCTCCGGCTGACGACCTCAGCGTGGCAGTCGCTGAGCGTACCGCCGTAGTCGCTCACGTTGTCCGAGTCCAGACACTTAGTGCCGGTGGCCAGAGACACAACCTGGGCTGATCTGAGGTCAAACCCTGGAAAAAAAGACAAGACTTCTGTCACAGCTAACAGGTTTCTGGTGGCGTGTTTAGAAAACGATTGAGCCTCTGATGGAACGAGACATTCAACATGATGCAAGTTCAAACAAGACGTCTGATGTGACTTTGAGAACAGGAAAAAACAAGACATCTCCTCTTTACTCTCCTCCGCCTCGGCGTCCCGTCACAACCGTAACGTTAACAGGCTGCGACGACCTAATGAAAAGTGTATGAGTGAACAATCGCTCAGATCAACGCAGGCGGCGGAGCTGCAATCTGGCCTCATCAAAGATTCACGGGACGGTAAAGAAGACTGCCTCCGCTCTGGATCCGAGCAGGGGTAACGCGAGGTGACTTGTTTGTTTGAATTGCAGTGATACATTTTTATGTGAGAGATGCCTCCCTGTTTTTTTAAAGCGATAATGTAGAAGATCTGTTGCTGCTGTAGATGCAGATTTAAACAGGTTGTATTGTAACACAACTGTGCACAAATAGGATTTTAGGACGAGTTTTGGTTAGACCGGGATCAGACTGCACAGTATTTAGGTCTATTAATGTCGTCACTTTGTCAGATTATAGATCTTAGAGTCATAAATTCTTTCCTTGACTTGTGCAAAACAAGTTTTAAACACAAGACTGGAACTTCTACACATCCAAAAACCTGAAACAAGGAGGAAGAGGAGAGCGTGAAGCTGGTCTAAAATTCACTTCAGAGAATATTTTAATCAGGAATTCAACTGTGTCGAGAAAGTGCTCACACATTTTTGGAGTTGAGAAGCTCCAGAAGAACCAGCGGGGGTTAGCTAGGAAGCCTTTCCCTCCAGTCAGTCCTCTCACATTAATCAACCCCCCACAGCCTCACAGACATTTTTAGCTACTGTTAGCACTGTAAACTTTCTAAGATAACTTACAGAGACAAACACTAAGATAGCACCACCCTCCTCCTCTTCAGTTCAGCAGCCTCCTCTTCTGCTCCTCAGTAAAATATACAGACGCTGCTTATACAGCCCACTCCATCTGTGATATTTACCTTAATTATTCTTCTTTTAATCAAACCTGAACCACAAACAGTAGCCTTTAGTGCCCTCTTAATATGCCTGAACATATTTAATCGTTGATTCAGTAGTATGGGATTTCTAACACAGCCTAAGTGTGTTTTTATGCAAACTTTTAATAACCTAACTTATTTTTGGGGCACTTGAAGGCAGCAGAAACCAGTTACAAACATTAAAATATCATCCAGATGTAGTCCTGGAGCCCGGATGTTAAATAACTTCCTCCTTCAAAAAACAGAACCCATCAATGAAAGCACCATCAGATAACAGGTATTGATTAAATTCAAAATCCATCGAGACCCTGGCCGCCTGGTAACCCTCCATCATCGTCCCCAGCACTCACCTCTGGTCATCACGATCCCCGCCAGGACCTTGTGACGGGCGTGCGAGGTAGAGAAACAGCCGTCCGTCAGCGCTGCGTATTTCTCTCTCACCAGGTGGAAGATCGACTCCGCAAAGAACTGCAGAAGAAACAGAGACGGCGTTTAAAAGTCTTTTCTTTCCTCCTTTTATTTGACGTCTGTGTAAGTTTACTGCTTATTCTGAGATGTATTTATTACTTCTCTCACTCAATGGAAGGAAGCCTTTGTTAGTGTCATTGGTAACACTTTACCCTACTATTTCATGTCAAAACGACTGCTGTGAAAAAGGTGTACCACCGTTTGTGAGCAAATGCTGTCCTGTATTGTCAAGAACTTTTTTTTTTGCCATTATTTCTTTTACGTTTTTGCCATTTTGCACCATTAAAATGATGCTGAATTAACTATTAGCAGCTCCTGTTGGCAGTGGACCCACAGATGTACCGACAACTCTCACTGGAAAACTTAAAAACATGACGGGCAAGTTCTGGAGCACCTCTTTCTATGGACATCAGAGGAATGAGGAAGTCACACTGAAGCTCAACACGCGTTCAGATCCGACTCAGTTAAGATTTTGACCCTAATTGGGGAGCTAATTGTGCTAAGTACCTCCACAGCCTTCATGCACTGCGTGTGAACAGCCACTGCTGCTGCTCCAGCTGTTCATATGAGGCCAAATCAGCAGCCAAACTACATTTCCTGTTGTTTTCAGAGCAGTATGCGTCCCTTACACCTCCTGCAGCGTCTTTGCAGATGAAAACTGATTGCACACTGGCTCGCTTTAACTTGATCTTTGATCCCAAAGGGAATATCCTGCATTTAGTTAAAGTTAAAGTTAAAGTTAAACACACTTTATGTTATCTTCTACATTAAAATCAAATTAAATCCTCCCTCAAAGGCGGATTTATCTACCCGTCTATTTTCAACCTTTAAACTTCAACTTGCTCTTTCTGGGTCGTCTTCCTTGTTGCAGTTGCAAGTTTCTGAAATTAATTGTAAAATAAATTAAACTACTTGTTACCGTTATAATAAATATTGTTCAGGGTGTTACCAGCCAGGAACAAAGTCCTATAAATACACATAAAGTGTGAGTGAACGCTCACAGATTTCTTTCTTTCGTGCATTTTATCTAAGAAATACCAACAATTCTCTTTTATTTCAGATGTTATTGGTTCTGGTTTCTTCACTTTGTGCCATTGTATGTTGATTCTTTAAAGGTCCAGTGTAACATTTAGGACATAATATTTATAGGTATGTTTTTATTAGTGTGTAATAACCTGAATATAGGATTCGTTAATGTTTCCGTTTTTTTCGCCATGTTGAACCACCATGTTTCTACAATAGCCCAGAACAGACAACCTACACGCTTTTTTGCACATTTTGCCCGTTCTCAATACCCCGGTCATCAAATCTGAAACTTCACCGCTGCCACTAAACTCCTACACACTGGTCCTTCAAAATAAAATACAACTATACTTGTGAAGAACATCATAACATATATAAAAAAATGTATATCATAATACCAGAAACAAAGTGCTAAAACTGTGAATGAACAGTTCATCAGAACCATTTTAACACAATATTTACAGTTACTTTTTATATAAAATCTCTATTTACTATAAACCCTATTACTCTTTAATGTTCCTACAGTTGGCTAGAGTTGGTTATATTTAAACCTGAGGATATTGTGACTTCTGCTGTCTTATTTCCCACAGACAACAGCCACTGAAGACACACAGAAACCTTCAAACATAAAGTGTGCAGAGATTCACCAACAGCTGTGACATTCGCCCGGACCTCCTGACAGTCTGTCAATGATGTCCGAAACTTTTTATCTCACTCGAAAAACTCTGCGGAGGAAGAAGTGTCGCGCTCCCACTTGTCAAAATATGTCCTAATTATATTTTTAGGAGGACTGTCACTCTTTTGGCAGACGTCACGAAAGTTACAGTTAACGGCTAGATGCTGCAAAAGTTCAGCGAAATGCCAAGAAACAACACAACTGTGAGGAGAGTTAATCGTAACGATATCAGCTGAATATCTGACTCCATCAATCCCCTTTTTGCTCAGTTTGGAGGAAGGAAGATGAAATGTTTGACAGCCACAGTAGCTGCAAATAATTCCCCTTTAATACATTTGGGTAAACTAGACTTCCCACTGATCGTCTTTAAAGTTTAAAACAACTTGCTGCACTCATTAAAATGATTTGGATGTCAGATTTTATGCAGCTTTAATTACACGAGGAGTAAAAAGTTGAAGATCATTTTAGGAGATTTGTGACTGTTGTCTAGTTTGAGGTTAATGAGTAGAGCAAATTATATTTCTACTGGAACGTCATGTAACTTTAACACGTCGACTGCATCTTAAATCAGTTAATGTTACTGTTTGTCATAACAAAAACAACCAACTGTAATCCATTTACGTGATTATTAGCAGTGTACACGCTACTATAAAAGTTAATCCTACTCCCCTAGAGTTTGACTACGTTATATGGTTCATTGATTGACTGAAGTCTGCTCTTGATAGACGATGACAGATCGTCTGTCAAGTGTCTGCCCTTTTCCAAACTGTTTCCAGCGATTACATCCTAGATAGTTCTGTCTAACAAACCATTTGGCGCAGTCGGATTAGGAAAATGAGAGCAGGTCGTTTTGCAGGTATTTGTTCAGAAACAGAAGTATTTGACAAATTAAAATCTGATGTCGGCATTAGATGTTATTAGGAGTTTGGACTCATTTATTGAGAGCTATGAACGTCTGTACCAAGTGTACTGCCAATCCAAGGCCTTTTTCACCCTATTGAACTATATTTTCCCTTTGAACCATTAACTTTCTTGCTGTGAAGCCTCTCTAGCAACTAACAATCCACTCGTCCCAAATGCAGTGTGCCTTCTTGCTAAAACAACAGACATCTTTAACTCTATACACTGTGTGGTGATAACAGAGGACTGACCTTGGTTACAGTTGCCAGTTCATTATCACGGCTTCTAGTGGAAAGTAATGCTTTTACTGGGGGGAAATTTCACCATCTTTTTGTTTTTAAAGCAGAAATAGGGCAAATTCTACCCTTTAGCTGTGAAAATATATATAGCTACTGCCTGAATTTACTTAATGAAAAGCTTCCCCATTTTATTTCATCTGTTATTTCATAGGAGATGTAAAAGTCATCTTACTGATATTTCTTGTCTTTTCATAGGTTAGGGTTAGGGACTACATTTTTCAACAGGTGAGTAGTAACTGTATCATATTACCCTCCCAACCCTGGTATTTGACGACCTGGGACAAATGAGACTCAACAATCAATCATCTTTCTCGGCTCTGATTGGTTGTTTTTACACAAGAATCCACTTGTAGATACCATCAGGAGCACCAGGAGAACACAGAGGAATCAATATATCTGATATATATACAGTATATAAATGTAGGATATAGTGAAAGTTTCAGCAAATATGACAAAAAGTAATTTTTCTATAAGTTACCTACAAAAATAACCTGTATTTGTAGAGACTTAATGGTATCAAGTGTATGTAAATGTATCCAGTCGTGTAGATTATCTTATATAAACATTAAATGTGTCTGTAATCTTTTGGATACAGACTGTATCTGTCACCACCTTTGATGCCACCATATTTCTGTGCATTTATTCCAGTGAAAGATCCAGTGTGTTGGACTTTGCGGCATCTAGAGGTGAAAATGCAACCAACTGAACACCGCTCGTGTCAGTATTTGATGACCTGGGAATGAGAACGGGCTGTGAAGAGTGTAAAAAAGCCTTATCTACAGCCAGTGTTTGGTTTCTTCCTTCTGGGCTAGTATTAAACCAGATCAGATTGAAACATATAGAGATTCTAACACACTAATGAAAACATGAATATTATTGTCCATTTCTGCCAATAGATCCTCCTCAATGTTACAACACCTTCTGACCAGTCACCATGACTATATAACAGCTACATGACCCTCTTGATCCTGGTGCTGTGTGGGGGAAACTGATCTAATTATTGCTGTTAAATAAATATAAATTTGATGTTTCTCAGTCTGCTGTAGAAGAAAGTTTCCTTCCCAATCCCTCACACTGTACTTTAGATTTGATAAAGGGTTACATTTTTGTAAAATTTCATGTGGATGCAACGCATTTCACATTTCCGGTGCAGACAGGAAGTTAAAAGACAAAGCGGAGCTCAAAAATGTCAAAAATAACATGTTACACTGAACGTATCTGCTTTAAAAAACCCAACATGTGTAAAATATGTGTAGAATTCAAACATTTATTGTCATTAATCACCCCAAACTCCCAGAAATGTGGACATGACCTCTGTGTTTAACTGTCTCATTTTGTAAAGAGCAGGTGTTTCTTTGGAGCGAAACTCTCTGGCTCAACGTTTTCTGGATGACAGTGGCACAAGGTCGTGTGTAATGAGTGTGTTAAACAATTATCTGTCAGATTATTATGCTCTTCACACCGCCTTCTCGCTCCACCTCAATCTCCTTGGTGTGCTGCCGCTCCTCCTTCATCCCTAATGTGCTGTAATAATGTTCATTAATGCGTCACGCCGCCTGACAGACAGTTCATATTGAAGGGGAGATGATGCTAAATGATCAGTTGGGGGAGGCCATGAAAAAAAAAGGTCTTCTAGACAAAGAGGGGGAGGGAAGCTTCTGCAAATTGTTAAGTTCTGGTGTGTCGGCCTAAAGCGGGGTAAAAAAAAATCACCTTTTTGTTCGAATTCAGAGCGTCAAAATGCATCAAAAATGTACCCTCTGCATCCTCCCTGTCTATGGATCCTCACATCAAATCCCCCCCAGGGTTTAATAAAGTATATACATGTTTCTTTTTAAGGCTTCGTATTCCTCTGCACATTTTGGGTGACGGTGTGGTTCTGCATGTTCAGTCGCCGCCTTCAGCTCCGTGGAGCCGATCTCGTGGACACAAATCTTCTTGTATTCATAAAGCACGACAGCAAAAGACGTAGAGGACAATTCTCGGAGGCTCTGAGACATAATGAAGTTGTTTAGATGCTACAGACGAGCGTACAGGACACCATCCGGCTCTCATGGCCTCAGGACATGATGGTCATGCTGATGTGCGGCACACTCCATTTGGTGGCACACGGCGCACCTCGGACCCATTTATCCAGACCATTTAGAAGACTGGCAAAAAGCTAAAGAGATAAAGATCGAATTCAGTGCTTGAAGCTGACGTGTCACCGCTAATGTCTCTGTGTGGGAAATGTGTCTTTAATGTGTGAAGGGCGTTTGCTGATACATCGAATCTGAGGTGGCTGACCATTCGTCTACAAATGGGTCAGGTGGCAATTTATGTGTGCAGTAATTATATTATGGTGTCTAGTTTTACGGTTTTTCTGTATTTTTGATGCTATTTTATTATTTTAACTCTTCAGAACTTGAAAGAAATTCAATTTGCAGACAGAAAATTATTCAAATGGACTGTATTTATCATGAAATGTACTTTTTTGTGCAAGAATTTTGTCCTTTATAATCTACAGCTGAGGCTGATGGTGAATGTTATTAGCGTTGCAGGTTGTTGGACATGTTAAAATCTTGATCTGATGGTGGCGCTTCATGTAAAGTCATCTGATCACCAAAGTTAGTAGGAGTCACTGTCTATGAATAACGGGCCTCTTTCACCATATTGAACTATATTTTCCTTCCGAACTCTGGACTTTCTTAACCTTGCGAGGCAGCTGGACTCACAAAATCCAGCTCATTGTACCCTACCGATCAGCACTCTGTGAGGAAGTACTGGCAGCTAGATGAAATAATTAGAACTAATTTTTTGAGAGCTATGAACATCTGTACCAAGTCCAGTGCCAATCCAAGGCCTTTTTCACCCTATTGAACTATATTTTCCCTTTGAACCATTAACTTTCTTGCTGTGAAGCCTCTCTAGCAACTAACAATCCACTCATGCCAAATGCAGTGTGCCTTCTTGCTAAAACAACAGACATCTTTAACTCTATACACTGTGTGGTGATAACAGAGGACTGACCTACTCACCTGAGGTAGCTGATTTTTGGCTCTGCTGCCCTGGAGGCCTGTGAACTTCCTCTCCGGTCCCAGACTTATGTTGTAAATACACTGTAGGGCGGCTGCTGCTGCCTGGGCCTTGGCCAGCCTCTTACTGTGCCCACACCCTTCAAACACCCTCCCCTCCACCCGAACCACCATAACAAAACTCCTCACTGGCCTGCCATGAACTCTCTCCGTCAGGCACATGTACCTGAGTCCTGGTCGCAGCTCATTGAGCAGCACCACTGGGCTGAGGTGCTCTAGAAGCGAGGTGCTAAGGGCTCGTCTTTTTGGGTTTGTCGAGGAGACCAAGTCCAGTGTGAGTCGGACGAGTCTTCTGTGGTTGTAAATGCTGGAGAAAACCTCGTTTTTTGCTGTGTTGCAGTGCAGTAGATCGCAGTTTTCACGCAACGATGGCTCAAACTCTTTGAGGAATGCGTCGGGGATGTCCAGTTTATCTGCTGTAAAATCCGTAGGAGTGCTGGCGAGGTTCCCCATGGTGGCGTGAGCCTGGGAGGCGTTTGGGAACTGGATGAATGACCGCAGAGCGAGTTCTGCGGCCCTCATCTTGGCCTGCTTTTTTGTGGATCCTCGGCCCTCGAAGCGGAAACCATTTACCTCCACACCCACAGAAAACACTGGAGCATGCAGCGGGCCAGTCTTTGACATGATCTCGTATCGCAGACCGGGTCGTAACTCGTTCAACTGCACCAGCGCGTTCTTCTGAGTGACAGCCCAGGCAGCTCTTTTACAAGTCAAGTGGCTTTGGTAGAGCAGCCGATCTTTTCCATCCAACAGCGGCTGCTTCCTCTTCAGAGCTCTCGGGCCGTGGATGGGGAAAGTTGTGCAAAAAGTTGATGGATGATACTTTCGTAGGAGGTCACAGTCCATCTGGATTTTATCATCCTGATTCTCGTTCACCTCCAAACTACTAGTACCTGCAGAAACATAACATGTAAGTAACGAGATGAGCCTACAGCCACATTAGCAGCCTTCTGAGACTGTACTTGATAACAGAGGTGCTTTGAGCTAAATGCTAACAATCTCACAATAAAAAGGTTGATGTTAAGTTAACATTTGCTAATTAGCACTTAACACAAAGTATAGCTGAGGCTGATGAGAATTTAAGTCATTAGTTGTGCAGGCATTTGGTCATTAACCAAAGTACTGGACAAATTTAATGTGTTTACATGCATTTAAAGGACCAGTATGTTGTAGAAAAGGACCTTCATTAGATTAAAATCTATCATTCTTATTTCCAGATGATTAAACACCAATGAAAACATACCTATGGATATTATATTGCATTTCTGCCAATAGATAGAGAACGTTAACTGGGGAACACGGTTACTGTAAACCTGAGTTTTGGTCATTTCTCAAATCTACCCAGAAACCCCTATATAGACACTCACAGAAACCAGGTTTCTAATTTGTATGACTGTTAAGAAATGGGCTTACTGGAGACAGCTGTAACTGCACTGACTGAAACTTGGTGCTAGATAAGTCATACTGAGAGGAAAATGAACGGCCATACAAGATCGAATTCATGAAACAATAAGTGGAGTCACAAATGTAAACCTCACGGTGGGACTTGAGGAAAAGTCAGGAAATCTCCAATTCATCATCTGAGGACCATGAATGCCTACAAGATTGCAATCCATCTGATAGTTGTTGAGATATTTCTCCAAAGTGGTGGACTGACCAACTGACAGACAAACATTGTACCTAAACCTAACCAAACTGCCACTGTTTCACAACGTTGACCTCTCAAACTTTATCTTGAAAGTCTAACTGGACGTTGAATATTAATGCTAACTTGATCGTGGAGCCACGTCCATAAAGGACCGCTATAGGCTCTCCGACCGCCAGTATTGTACAAGTATTTGTGGCATAATACGCAGTGTCTGGTGGTTACTTGGCATCTGTGGTTTCATGCTGATGGTAAACTAGCAGAATATGGCATAATTTCAGTTTTATTGGCATAAAAAAGCAACATCTTCAGAGTCCATGGAGGAAAAAGATTTACTTGAACTGTCTGCATCCTCAGCTGATGACGCTCCAGCATCCCAGTGTCTTATGGGACCGATGAGGGTTGATAACATGTTGCTCCGTCCTGAAAAACAGTATAAATACATCAGATTATTGAGCCTTTTCTCCACAGCATTACGCAATATCGTATACATCACAAATGGACAGATACAGTCGCTACCGTATAACTTGTATATAACATAAAAATTGGTGAAATGAGCCCAATTACAGTCGTGGTTCTAAATGCTCATACGCCATAGTTTTATATTCACTCCCAACCATAAAGGTAATGAAATGGACTGAGGTAAACACATTTATGGCGATAGTGCAAACGTAGTTAGCGTGGCTGGGAGGGCCATTAGACTTCCCACTAAATGGACGGAGTGGAAAACAAACAGAAAGGCGGTTTAGAGGCAGCCGGGGTAATTGAAAGGTGTCGGTGATAAGGACGGAGGTTTTCAGACAGGAAGCATCGAGGGGCTTAAACAGAATGAGAAGCTTTGTCTTATTAACCCAGTCACACCATTTTTGAATCAAACGCGGCCGTTTTTCATTAGATTTCAACAGATTTGGTGAGTGGTCTGAAAAAAAACAGATGTCCTCAGTGTGATAATAACAAATATATATATTTCACACACATACAACCATGTTACTCAAGATTTGGTGGTTTTTCATCTTTACCCACATCCTTTCTTATCTCCCACCAGTTTTCTTTGGAAACACATTCAATGAATCTGCTGTTGTTTTGTGAAAAGTGCTACGATGTAAAGTTTGGAGGATTACATGTGGACAATCTACCCTGAGGCGAGGACTGGAAACAACCACCAGGACAATAACAGATACTTTATACCAAAAACATATAAATATACACATATAAAGAAACATACAAAGATTTTTCCCTTTGCAGAAATAATAACCTGAATATTAAACATTCATGGTACCAGACTCCAACCAATAAGTTTATGGTTCAACTCTTGCATGACAAATCAAAATAGTGATATCCAAAGCATCAGAGAGGCCAAATATTTCTGTAATGTTACTTTTTATTTCATCGATTTGTGAGGCATCAAACACTTGTTGAATTGGTTATCCTCCATTATGAAACACAAATGATAAAACACACGTTTTGTGTCCAATTCTCATTAAATCAGGTCACTATTTGGGGTGATATCCTGTCGTCTGAGCCCGACATTAGTCTGTCCTTACTCGAACCGCTGTGTCCTTAAAGGATAGGATGCTATATTTTTCCCTAATAAAACAAAAATAAAGAAAAACCCCCAAACTCACATTTTCTGATTTGAGGATTTGGCTTCAGGAAACACCCGCAGCTCCACCACTGTAATAGACACCACCCCCCCACCCTCCATTATCCCCATTACCGCCCCCACCATTAACAGCTTTTTAGCAGCATGGCAGATAACACCACATACAACATAAACACAGAATAGGCTGCAATTATATTTGATATCTACTGTTGAATTAAATATTAATGTTAATGTCTGCCGCGAATAAAACATATAATGGATCAACATTGAGACACTATTATTCATTGAGGCCATAATTATCTGTAGGTACCGGTACACATTCTGTAGCAGTCTGAGAATTCATGTTATTTAGTTTTTTTTTTTTTTTTTTTTTTTTTTTTTTTTTTTTTTTTAAAATTTTAATTAATTAAAAATTTTTTTTTTTTTTATTTAATTTTTTTTTTTTTTTCAAAAAATTTAAAACAGCGATATTGCTTTTGTTTTTTAAAACAACATATTTGTATCAAATAAGATGACTATAAGATAATGAATGCATGTTTTTCTAAATGTTTTTGATCACGCTGTGGGTGATTTTACTGCCTGTTTTGGCCCATTTTTACCCCTGGTGACTGGTGATTCTGGAGGGCACTGCAATGCAAACTGAAAGTCATTAGAATAATGAAGAGTGCACACTAAACTATTCTGCATTAACCTTGCACCTTGCAGTTATATTAGGCGTGTGATGCCATTAAGTGGTGGGTTGATATGAGCGAGAGCTGTGAGATGGGATGTGAATGTAATGATGTGAGTCTGGAGCTTCTGAAGGCAGCGGCAGGTGGAGGTTGGAGATGTTTTAATGACCTGCATCATCACAGCTAATGGGGCCATTTATTTTGGGATGAAAAAGATAATAACTGTGTTGTCTTTGCGTTATATCGGCGAAGCCCTCACACCTTCCCACACTTTTCTGTCAGTTCCTCACTCCCACTCGCAGACACACTCCGTCTCATTCAAGGAGCACTTCATTAACCCACCCATTTGTGAATTGCAGTATTAGACTGTACACTTGGTTTAAGTAGAGGTTAACCAGGTTGCAACGTGACAAATGGTTTGCTTAATCTACCTGTAATCCTCGTCGGAAGCAAATCTACAAAATGCATTTGTGAAGCAATTTAGAGATTAAACTGCAGCTGCTGTTTTGCAACACAGGTGATATAAAGGTCTCTCTGTTTAAAACAATCAGAGCGGACTATACTTTCAGATGGTTACTGTGTCATTCTCTATCAGGTAGTTTGTCCTTTTCACTACTATATAAGAAAAAAAATACATATTGTGTAAATATGTATTCTAGCGACGTGATTGAGAAGTGACAGCAATTCACCTCTTTTGTGACTTTCCTTCACTTTTGCAGCGATGCTTTTATAGTACGACTGCATTTACAACTGGTTATAACATGTGGTCTGTATCTGAATGTATAATCTGGTGTAAACACATAGAAATGACTCAAACAGTATGAAACTTTAACCAAAACACAGATAGCAGTGGAGCTCCCATGCAATATCAGTAGTGATAAACACTGTCCCTCTCCCCGAAAATGTCAGTTTTTCTCTTGTTCCTACAGATGGATGTTTGATCTTCACTCACTGCGCAGAATGATGTATGTGCAGAGTTCGACACTCAAAGGACGTTTTCACTTTCACCTGCTGACAGTTCTTTGTGGGCCTACGAGGATGTTTTCTACATGTTTTAATCTGAGGGATCATCTAAGGGATCTTTAAGTAAATCAATAAGGAACCCAAACGCTGTGAGCAGGGTTTGAACCTGCGCGGGGAATCCCCATTGGATTTCAAGTCCAACGCCTTAACCACTCGGCCATCACAGCTGCACACTATATGAGTGTGTAGCCACAGAACAAATTGCAGACAGACAGATCACATCACCCAGAGCACATCTGTACGTTCGCATCATGACTGAATCTCAGCCAATGCCATCGATTGAAAGGTCACCCAACTCCACCTCTTCCTGCTCATCAAAAGCTGCAGTTAAGACCTTCCTCTGCACAGGACACATATGTAGACCTCATTTAGTCGTATTGCTTCAGTGAGAGACTCGTAAGATACATGAGGTACATGATGAGGCTCATGTGACTGAAAAAAGTTCCTCTACCGGCTATGATAATGTTCTCACAGAATAAGTATCATTAGCGTAGTTAGATCTTATGTCCCAGTACTATGAGTAGTGGGTTTAAGGTGCTTGTAAAGTTTGCATAAAGAGCTCATAAATGACGCGACAGAGCCCTCAATCACCTGTTGATTCCACAATGCGAAAGCCATGAGCCATGATTAAGTATTAAGTCCAATACCGTTGAAAGGTCCTTTGTATACAGCAATCACTCTCCGTTCTATCAGGTCAGTTGTACATCGCTCTGAGCCCCCATTGGATTTCCTGCATCAGCCATCACAGCATCCAGCAGTAGCAAAATCATCTTGTACTTGAGATAAATTTAATCAGATGACACTTTTCCATCTTCAACCTGCATTTATCTTTCATCTTTCCCCTCATGTTGTACATCCAGTAAAGGCATCACTTATAGCAGCAAGTGCAAACATTAATTAATGTTATTAATACTTCACAGAGCAGTCACTCAGAAACCAAAATACTGTAATTTACTGGACAAGAGACAAAAAGACAAAAGAGCTGAGGAGCGATGAGGACGGGGAAGCTTGCACCGCTTCATATTCCACAGTGCTTGTGTTTATCAAACCTTAGAGGCGAAGTTTCTCCATCCAGCCGCTGTTAATGAACCTTATTTAATAGAATAATGAAATTAGGCATGGCTGGGGGGCGAGAAGCACCCGCTCCCTGTCCGATGTGTGTGTGGTCTGACAGCTGTGGATAATCTCATTTGCTAAGCGTAATTAATGGCAAGTGGTTTCATTTACTTGTAATATGGACTGTCTTTCCTCAAGGGCAAAGAAATATGGAAACTTTTTGGAATAATTTCTCTATCTACTGCCTTCGTATTAGTAATGATATTTGTAATAGTAGATGTTTTGATGATTATTTTTTTTATCTAAGAATATTTCCATGGCCTTCCTTGCTTATTACATTATTTACTTCCCTGGGGTTTATATGAGCCTGAACACAAAGACTTCTCTGGTACAGTCTTGTTGCTTAGAAACCCCACTAAAAGGTATTTTTATTATTAAAACAGGACTCTCATGACCTACCCTACTCAAGCCTTCCCAATCAAAGTAACAGTGATGGTTCAGATGTAGGACTCATCCCATAGGGATTTACCACACAGAGTAATTATAAATCCCACAAAGACATTCCCTGCATAGCAAAGATTGGCCAGGCTACCGGACTCGTCTGGTGACATACAGAAAGCTTTTTTAAAGCTTTATACGTGGTATATTCTGACATCCGTTCCCAAGTTTAAGACCCATTCACACCTTGACTCAAGTGCCGGCTGTCACTTCACAGCCAGGTGGACTAACAACCCACCAGTGACCTCAAAAACCCCTCAAGGTGTAAACGATCCTTCAGAGGTTAAACGCCTGGGACTCTCCACCAGTCAGCTAGAACTGCCTCTCATCTTTTCTCTACTTGCCTTTGACATCGCAACTGTAGATATTAGGGGTGTGCACCTCTCCCTTCAATCCAATACCTATCTAGATACATGGATTATTATACGATTCAGGGACGATGCCATAGCATGACCATGTCATCTCACCAGGTAGGTGTTAAGATTTATCGTGCTACTAAGACTGGGAACCTGTCCAACTTTTAATTAAAAAAAGTTTGAAAACAAAACTATTGCACAGCGATAAGACTGTTG